TTTTTTTTTTTTGGAGGTAGAATCTTGCTCTGTCGGCCAGTCTGGGAGTGCAGTGGCACGATCTCACTCATTGCAACCTTCCACTCCCAGGCTCAAGCAATTCTCCTGCCTAGCCTCCCAAGTAGCTTGGACTACAGGCACATGCCACCACACTCTGCTAATTTTTTTGTATTTTTAGTAGAGATGAGGTTTCACTGTGTTAGCCAGGATGGTCTCCATCTCTTGACTTTGTAATCCGCCGGCATAGGCCTCCCAAAGTGCTGGGATTACAGGCCTCAGCCACCGCACCTGGCCAAGGAATATACTCTTATAGTGCTTTGAGTGGAAAAATGATAATGTATGGTAAGACTAGAATATATGAGTACACAAGAAAACTTTAGAAAGTGTTTTTTTTTTTTTTTTTTTTTGACTCATTGCAAATTAAAGGATACTTCTAACATGAGAATAGTGAACAAGCAGCACAAACTAATTTTCTTTATCCTGCCTTTTGCGTTTGGTCAAATCAAAGAGTCATCGGAGAAAGTAATTGAGGCTCGCTCCATAGCTAACTGTTGATTATCTAGTTCTTTGTTCCATTGGAGCTACATTTGTCAAACTTTTGGGACATGTTAGCTGCATATTTGGCTGCGTTTTTCTTATTCATTTTGAAAATGCCATGTGCTGCTTTGGGGAATAACGTGCTTCCCTTTCATTGGAAGCATTTAAGCAGAAGTAGGGTAATAATGATGATTAACATGTACTGACAATTTACTTAGTATTATTTACCTTGGTATGAAATCTTTGAGATGAAAACTATTACTGTTTTCTCTTAAGATGAGAAACCAAGGCCCAGAGAGGTTAAATAACCTGGGTAAAGTGAAAAAGTAATGACTGGCAAAGATGGGATTCAAACCTAAGGAGGCCTGATGTTAGAACATGCATGCTAACTATTGGTACACACTACCTATTCCTTGAGGGATGTAAATGGAGGGACTTGCTGTTTGGCTTGGGAGGTTATAACAGAAAGCCTTCCAAGGCTCTCTACCTCTTAACAGACTAGTATTTTATTTATTTATTTATTTTTTTGAGGCAGTGTCTTACTCTGTATCCAGGCTGGAGTACATTGGCATGATTATGGCTCCCTGCAGCCTCGACCTCCCTGGCTCAAGCCATTCTCCCACCTTAGCCTCCTACTTGGCTGGAACTACAGACATGCACCATAATGCTTCACTAATTATTTTATTTTATTTTTGTAGAGACGGGGCCTCACTGTGTTGCCCACGCTAGTCTCGAACTCCTGGGCTCAAGCAATCCTCACACCTTTGCCTCTCAAAGTGCTGGGATTACAGGTGTGAGCCACCATGCCTGACCAAAAGGGTAAAATTTTAGAGTGGTCCATGTTATTGGTGAGGCCTACCTTGGTCCTCCTATTTACCATCCCTTAAATAGGGCCTTCTTATTGCTGCTTATTAGATTGGCCCTCTACCAAAAGCTTAGAGCATTAGAGCAGTGAACCTCAAACGTTAGGACACTAACCTTTAAAAAACATTAAAAAAATTCAGATTCCTATGGGAGGTCAGAGTTCTATTTCACTTTGGGATATAGCGTGGTGGTGACTTTCTCCCTTACCTAATTGTTCCACGTAGTCGTTATTTATGCAGCCTTAGCACATTCTGAAACAGCATCCAGTCCTCCTTGTTACAGGTTGGCACCTGTCTTTGGTCTTAGTTGAGGTGATAGGATTTTGCTTTGTTTCCAGGATCCTGTTCTGTGTCTATTAACTGTATTTCACATTAGTCCTTTCCTGAGGCTCAATCCTTTTTTTTGAGACAGGATCTCACTCCCATTGCCCAGGCTGGGGTGCAGTGGTACAATCTCGGCTCACCTTAGCCTTCGCTTCCCAGGCTCAAGCCATCCTCCCACCTCAGCCTCCTAGGCAACTGGGACTGCAGGCATATGCCACCATGCCTGGATAATTTTTTTTGTATTTTTAGTAGAGACAGGGTTTTGCCATGTTGTCCAGGCTGGTCTGGAATTCCTGGGCTCGAGAAATCTGCCCACTTTGGCCTCCCGAGCGCTGGGATTACAGGCATGAGCCACTGTGCCTGGCTGAGACTCTCTTCTAGTAACATCCTTTGTTCTCTAGTTTCTAGAACTGGTCCTGCCACCGTCTTCGCCAGACTCCCTCCCAGGGATCAGGTTGGCAGGCTTATCTGAGCTGTAAGATGGCATGGATTTCCGAGAATCTTCCTGTCTTTCCTTTACTGAGCTGTCTTCATCCATTGCATCTCCTGCCCTGATGCCTGTTGTTGAGAATACCTCCTACTCCATATTTCAGGAAGGGGCCAAACATTTTAAAATCTACCATTTATCCTGCCTTCTTTCCCTTTGAAGTCTCTTGGCTGTATGCCACCTCTGCTCCTGAGGATATTTGCATTACTTGCTGGTTTGGGGCTTCTTAGAGCTTCCTTTGTACTTAGGATAGAGATAGGAAGAATGTTGTATACAAAAGGTCGTTTACCTTTGCTGCTTGCTTTACTTGCTGTGTGTGTGTTTCTGCCTCCTGTGCTTGTGTACTCGGGGGCACTGAGCACACCATAGGTGACATGGTGCCAGATATGTTTAATGAGACAGTGTGATGCTGGTCTCCAGTGATTAGTGACAAAAGACAACATTCATTCATTCACCCACCTCTTCCACGAATAATAACAATAATAATTTTTTAGTGGCAGGATCTCACTTTGTCGCGGAGGCTGGAGTGCAGTGCAGTGGTACAATCTCGACTCCCTGCAACCTTTGCAAAGGGTTCAAGTGATTCTCCTGCTTCAGCCGCCCTAGTAGCTGAGACTACAGGCGCAGGCCACCATGCCTGGCTAATTTTTGTATTTTTGGTAGAGATGGGGTTTCGCTGTGTTGGTGAGGCTGGTCTCCAACTGCTAACCTCAAGTTATCCTCCTGCCTTGGCCTCCAGAGTGCTGGGATTACAGGCCACAAATAATTATTGAGCATCAATAATTAGTGTGCTTTCTGGAAGTATATACTTTTTCTCTCAAGGATTTTATATCCTAGTGAGCAGGAGCAAAATAGATAAATTTACTGCTGTGAGGTATGTCCTGGGAGCAGCAGAAGGACAGCTTCCTGAAAAAGGTAATACTGAGCTGAGTCTTGAAGATATATTTTTACCTTAAAAATGAATTCCTGGTGTGGGGGCGGTAATGGATGGCTTGAAATTTGCTCTCAAGTTTTTCATGTGTTTCTTTTTGTAACTTAATGTGTCTACTTTGCAGATATCCCTTTGGCCTTTGCAGTCTCTGTGTCTGTCATTCTTTGTATAATAATTTGTATCAAAGGGGAGAAACAGCTATTTTTTTTGTCCCTAGAAGTTCTGCTCTTAAGGTTCCAGAGAAAGTTTGAAAAATCAAATCTTTTAACTTAAAAAGTACTTTGTGTTGTTGGTATCCAAAATTAGGACTCTGAGATTTTTGTGTATTCAGAGAATTTTTGGTAGGAAAAAGGACAAATTTGCATATGAAATGAAAATAGTTATTACATGGCAAAATGTGTAGATGAGATTTCTAGAAACTGAATTAGTCCAAAACAAATAAGAGTAGGAAAAGCAGTAAAAAGTTTCTCTTGAATATTGCTGTTATCATCCAATGTATTCTTATTTCTTTTAGGTGAAAAATTTCCATTACTGTTTTGCTGTATTCTCAAATTAAAAGAAAGTTTAGGATTTTATGGTATTCTAAAATACTGAATCTTAATTCAGTATTTCAATAGAATATTATTTATTTGCTTCCATATCAGTAGATTTTAAAATTATTTATTTCTAGGCAATAGATCTTTCTAAAATATAATCCAAAGTAATTTAAAATGCAATTATCTAGACTAAAGTATGATAAAGATCTCTTTTCTGCAGCATGCTATATTTAAAATTTTTTTCTAGGTTGTTTTGTTTGTTTTTGTTTTTGGAATCATGATATATTTGTTTCTTAAAGCAATCTTTAATTAATTCTGTTAGGTGTTTTTCTAGCCCAAATAAACATCTAATAATTTTAGTTTAATTTGGCAAGGAACACTGGTGAAAAAAAGAAAAATCTGGTTTCATAACTGACAATATTTATTATCATTACCATTGTGTCCTAGGATATGTGTATTTAATAGCTTGATTTAGTAAATATCATTAGGATATTAGCTTTAAAACTGTGAAGATCAGGATTGATTTGAGGTCAGTTTGCTGTTTCAATGTTAGTAATGATAAGTAATTTCTAAGCACCATTCCAAACCTTTAGGAAATTGTTATAGCCCAATACTTCAGGGTTGTTAGATCCTTACTGAAAACTAAGGATGCAAATGCAGCTGTGCTTCAGGAAAGACAGTGAAAGTGGGAGCTGGAAACCCCTCAGGTCTCCAAGTAGCATATACTCTCTCTCTATCTCCTACCTCTGCTTCTTTGTGTATCTTTTCCTACCCCCTCCCCCAACCCGAGAATTCCAAGGACAATCAAGCTTTGTGTATCTTTTAAAACCTTTACTCTCTCTGCCAACTGGCTCCTGTGCTCCTCAGTTCAAATTATGGAGTATTCGTTTACTGGTCTAGCCGCAGGAGACATCTCTTCTTCTTAGTCTCAATTCTAGGTTCCCGGAGAGGCGATCATGACTGGGTTTGAGTTAGATGCCTACCCTTAGTCAGGTCAACTTTGGCCTGGAGGGCAGAGTTACAAAATAAATGATTGCCAGGGAACCAGTCTGTGTGTATGTGTGTGTGCGTGTGCTTGCATGTGAACACATGTGTCATGAGCTCTGCACACCCTACAGAAGTATTCATTGTATTCCTCTTGGTATATAGCAAGAGCAGCAATATTACTAGATTATTGTCATACCCCATCTCAAGAAATTATGAGGGAAGAGGGAGGATAAGGATTGGTTGAATAGGGGCTGTTTCATAACAACCATGTGAGGAAGAATAATCCTGTTGCATCTAGGACATTTCCATTTAATATTTCATTTTCTTTGTAACAGGTTAGTGGTTACTTGGATGATTGTACCTGTGATGTTGAAACCATTGATAGATTTAATAACTACAGGCTTTTCCCAAGACTACAAAAACTTCTTGAAAGCGACTACTTTAGATATTACAAGGTATTTTTAATTTTAACTTTTTATATAAGAATAAAGTTTAAGTGGATAGTTACATTTTCTTAAGAATTACTGAGCTTCAAAATTGTGGTTATTATTTAAAATTGATATAGGCTTTATTAAGAAAATTCAGTTCAGGCCGGGCGCGGTGGCTCAAGCCTGTAATCCCAGCACTTTGGGAGGCCGAGGTGGGTGGATCACAAGGTCAAGAGATTGAGACCATCCCAGTCAACATTGTGAAACCCCATCTCTACTAAAAATACAAAAAATTAGCTGAGCATGGTGGCGCGTGCCTGTAATCCCAGCTACTCAGGAGGCTGAGGCAGGAGAATTGCCTGAACCCGGGAGGCGGAGGTTGCGGTGAGCCGAGATCGTGCCATTGCACTCCAGCCTGGGTAACAAGAGCGAAATTCTGTCTTAAAAAAAAAAAAAAAAGAAAATTCAGCTCATAAGAGTGTACCATGTGATTCTGAAACCATCCATTGGATAATTTTAATAACTGAATTTTACACTCTAAAGTTAGAACCTCATTGGTTAAATTGAAGTTAGGACAGAAATTATTATATATTCTTATCAAGATTGTGAAATCATAATTTTCTAAAACATCAGGTTGGCTCCAATTAATTAAAATAATTAAATGTTTTTTAGTAGAATCATGACTTTATTTTGACCTATATTGTTTTAACAAATCACTTGTGCTATTGTATCTTGAGATATTTACTAGAAGAGTTTAGAAAACCTGATCATTGGAGTATTTGGTTGTAATCAGAGTTTAAAATTGTCTATTCTCTACCTGTTAACTCTTTCTTGTTTGAAAAGAATAGGAGTCGAGCTACTTTGGCTCCTAGTTGCCATCTGTTTGGCAGTCTGTGTCTTTTTTTTTTTTTTTTGGTAGACAGAGTCTCTGTCACCCAGGCTGTAGTGCAGTGGTGTGATCTCAGCTCACTACAACTTCTGTTTCCTGGGTTCAGGCAGTTCTCTTGCCTCGGCCTCCCAAGTAGCTGGGATTACAGGCACCTGCTACCATACTCGGCTAATTTTTGTATTTTTAGTGGAGACGAGGTTTTGCCATGTTGGCCAGGCTGGTCTCGAACTCCTAACCTCAGGTGATCCATCCACCTTGGCCTCCCAAAGTGCTAGGATTATAGGCATAAGCCACTGCGCCTGGCCCAGTCTGTGTCTTTCTAACCAGGTCTACCAATGTACTTATACTAGCCTCACATTTATACTATTTTTGGAACCTGGCAACAGATAGGTAGAAGAAATAATATATTTGCAGCTGATAACATGACCAAATTATAGCACCATAATTTGTAACTGTCAATTATTATCTTGGGATTCTGATTTTTATAGCCCTTTTTCTATTATCATTTTATAGGTAAACCTGAAGAGGCCGTGTCCTTTCTGGAATGACATCAGCCAGTGTGGAAGAAGGGACTGTGCTGTCAAACCATGTCAATCTGTAAGAACCATGTATACATTTAAAAACTGTTACATCCTTTTTCACCCATTAGAACATTTTGTTTTATTTATTTATTTTAAGAACTTTTTATTTTTTGAAAAAACAGATGAGATTTTTCCATGTTGCCCAGGTTGGTCTTGAACTTCTGGGCTCCAGCAATCCACCTGCTTTAGCCTCCCAGAGTGTTGGGTCTGTGCCACTATCCCCGGCCCATTACAACTTTTTAAAGGGGGCCAATATAACTAAAATAATTGTGCAGTCCTTAGTTTAAATATAACATTCAATATTCACACATTAAAAACCTAAACTTATAAAACCTACTTTGAATTATACTGCCTTCATAATAATAGGATTAAAATTTTGTGGTTAATATAATTCTTTGACTTATTAAGTAGATTGATAGTAGTTCTTTTGACTTGATATTTATTTTTCTTCTTAACATCTTTTCCGAACCTAGTTTTGTATATAGCATAATAAAATGAAATTAATCAAAATATAAATGAAATACCCCTGCTTTTTTCAGGTGTATTTTTGCCTTGGATTTCCTGGGGTATGAGTGGACAAAACACCTGGTTTTACTTAGGTATTTTTTGGACCATTAAAATTTGAAGTATTCTATGTGAAAACAGAGTTTAAAAAATATTTTTGAATGATCATTTATTTCCTTTAAAAGTACATCTTTTTTTTTTTTTTTTTTGAGACGGAGTTTCGCTCTTGTTACCCAGGCTGGAGTGCAATGGCACGATCTCGGCTCACCGCAACCTCTGCCTCCTGGGTTCAAGCAATTCTCCTGCCTCAGCCTCCTGAGTAGCTGGGATTACAGGCATGCGCCACTATGCCCAGCTAATTTTTTGTATTTTTAGTAGAGACGGGGTTTCACCACGTTGACCAGGATGGTCTCGATCTCTCGACCTTGTGATCCACCCGCCTCGGCCTCCCAAAGTGCTGGGATTACAGGCTTGAGCCACCGCGCCCGGCCTAAAAGTACGTCTTTTTGGCCAGTTGCAATGGCTTATGCCTGTAATCCCAGCACTTTGAGAGGCCGAGGCGGATGGATTGCCTTGGCTCAGGAGTTTGAGACCAGCCTGGCCAACACGCTGACACCCTGTCTCTACTAAAATACAAAAAAAAAAGTTAACTGGTTGTGGTGTTATGCCCCTGTAGTCCCAGCTACTGGGGAGGCTGAGGAAGGAGTATTGCTTGAACCTGGGAGGTGGAGGTTTCAGTGAACCAAGATCACACCACTGTACTCCAGCCTGGGTGACAGAGCAAAACTCTGTCTTCCAAAAACAAACAAAGTATATCTTTTTGTTTCACTTTTAAAATTGTGGTAAAATATACATAACATAAAATTGACCATTTGAACAATTTTTATGTATACAGTTCAGTGGTATTAAGTGTGTTCATCTTATTATCCAACCATTGCCACCATCTATGTCTAGAACTTTTTATCTTCCCAACCTGAAACTGTAAACTGTTCCTGTTTATAAGTCTTAATTTCTCCCTCCTCCCAGGCCCTGGCAGCCACCATTCGGGTTTCTTTCTTTCCAAATTTAATTGTTCTAGTGCTTCATGTTAGGGGAATAATACAGTATTTGTCCTTTTTTGGATGGTTTATTTCACTTAGCATACCGTTTATGTTGTAGCATTTATCAATTCTATTTTTTTTAAGGCTGAATAATATTCTACTGTATGCCTATACCATATTTTGTTTATACATTCACCTGCTGATGGACTTTTGGGTTATTTCTATTTTTGGGCTGTTGTGAATAATGCTACTGTGAATGTGGTTACACAAATATTTGTTTGAGTCCCTACTTTAGTTTTTTGGGCTATCTACTTAGAAGTGGAGTTGCTGGATCTTATGTTAATTCTGTTTGTGTTTTCTGAGGATCTGCCATACTGTCTTCAACAGTGGCTGTACCATTTTACATTCCTATTAGCAATGCATAAGAGTTCCAGTTTCTTCACATTCTTGACAATAATGTTATTTTCTATTTTTTTTTTGATTAATTGTCATTCTGATAGATGCGAAGTGCTATTGTGGTTTTGGGTTTTTTAAATTTTATATATGTAAATATTGTTTAACAGACTTACCTAGCATGTTGAATTAAGGCCAATATCAAATACTATTTATGGGCATTTTTAAAAATTTTAAAAATTTTAAATGGTTTTTAATTTTTTTTGAAGATGGAATTTCACCACGTTGGCCAGGCTGGTCTTGAACTCCTGACCTCAGGTGATCCACCCACCTCAGCCTCCCAAAGTGTTAGGGTTACCGGCGTGAGCCACTGTGCCCGGCTTATTTATGGGCATTTTACCATGAAAATGAGAAGCATGTTTTTTGTTGCATTAATCCTCATATAGACACAACTTACTGAAAATTAAAAGAATTAATTTGTGAAACACTTTGTTACTATTATTAAAGCTTGAGCGTATCATTAAAGTGATATTAACAATGCAAACATTTTGTATTCTAAGTTTTGCATTTATAATTTAGTAGTAGAAAAAAATTAGTTGTGGAAATTTACATCCTATTTATATGAATTAGTAAAAATGCTAAAATATGGTAGATGCTTAATAAAGGCATTTAATTATACTTGTTCATTAAATGGGCTTTTTATTGATATTAGAAAATATAAATACAGTGATTGCAAAGTCAAATCTCATCCTGAAATAGCAATTATTTCTGATTATTGTTGATGAAGTGTAGAACTAAAGGATGCCATTTGGAAAAGAAGATTGGAGGGAGTAGAAACCCTGAAAATCCTGTTTCATAATATAATAGTTTATTGATTTTGTCAGTTGACAGACGAATGAGATGTATTTCACTGTGAATCCTAGAGAAAACAACCAATTTTAGCATTTGAGAAATGTTAAAGAGATATTTATTATTTGATTTGAATGTATAGAAGTGCTATTAAAGAATCAGGTGAAGTCAGGATCTAGTTATTTTAGCTTCTGCAGAGCTGGGAAGAACTGAAAGGCAGAATGCCTTTCATGCCAATACTTTGGGGTTTTTTGTGTGTGTTTTTTGTTTGTTTGTTTTTGAGGCAGGATCTCGCTTTGTTGCCCAGGCTGGAGTGCAGTGGTTCACTGCAACCTTTGCCTCCTGGGCTCAAGATATCTTCCCACCTCAGCCTCCTGAATATCTGGGACTACATGTGGACTACAGGCGCACATCATCATGCCCAGCTGATTTTGTGTACTTTTGGTGGAGACAAAGTTTCACCATGTTGCCCAGTGTGGTTTCGAACTCCTGAGCTCAGGTGATCCACACGCCTCGGCATCCCAAAGTGCTGGGATTACAGGCGTAAGCCACTGCGCCTGCCAGCAATACTTGTTTTTTTTCTTGAACTGGTATTATGATGGAGAAAAGCTTTTTCTTTAAAAGATCATAGGAAGGCCAGGCATACAGAGCTCTGCCCCTGAGCTTTTGGTTTAGTAGGGGAGATAAATGCTAATTAATCATTTCAGTACAAGTGTGATAGCCCCAAAATAGAGATGGACTGAAATTATACACACTGTGAGAACAGAGGGGAAGGGAGAAAAGAGAAAGGAGATTGAGAGAAGCCCCGCTTCAGGTGACAGTGAGGGCATGTACCAATTACATTCCTCTTAGGGCAAGCCTGGGCTCAGTTCTAATAGTTCCTCACAGGGTGGTGTGTTGGAACCAAAGATTGATTAAAGGTCATTTCAGGAACCTTGGAATACTTGCTTTAGCCTAAATCAGCTTTCATACCTAGCATTTGTATTGCACATTACTGATACCGTGCCATTTCACTATTATACACTTCAGTGTACATCTAAAAGAAAGGACATTATTTCATGACCATAGTGCCATTATCACATCTAGAACAGTGAACAGGTCTTTCTTAATCTAATAGATGTACAAGGTTAAACAGAGTAAACTCACTACTTCAGATGCCCTGCTGCTGTTTTGTTGATACCTTTTTGGGTTAAACAAGAAACAAAGACCAGTTTCCTTTTTGTCAACACTTTGATTTCCTTATTTAGCTCATTTATAAACTCAGTTCAGGTGATCCTCTGTGACCCAGTAGGCGATGAAAAAAAATAATAATAAAGGTTGAAGTTCTCTTCCTCATACTTGGCTCTTTAAAAACCATATACCTCATTTTATACCCTGATTCCAGAGAAAATTTGAATAAAGCAGATGGTCTGCCTATAGAGGATGGAATCCCTTTATAAGCTGAAAGGCCATTCATGTCTTCACTTTACAATTAATCAAGTCAAGGTTTTTTTTTTTTTTTTGAGGTGGAGTCTTGCTCTGTCATGCAGACTGGAGGGCAGTGGTGTGATCTTGGCTCACTGCAACCGCCACTTCCTGGGTTCAAGCAGTTTCCTGCCTCAGCCTCCCAAGTAGCTGGGATTACAGGTGCCCACCACCATTCCCAGCTAATTTTTTTTTTTTTTTTTTTTAATATTTTTAGTAGAGACGGGGTTTCACCATCTTGGCCAGGCTAGTCTTGAACTTCCGACCTCGTGATCCACCCGCCTCAGCCTCCCAAAGTGCTGGGATTACAGGTATGAGCCACTGAACCTGGCCACGACAAGGTTCTTTCACCTCCATTATTAATTGGCCAATATGAGAAAAATAGCAATACCCAATATGCATTGGCCAATAAACTACTCTAGTGGTTAAGTCTTTTTGGAGATCAATTTAACAGAAAAATTTCAAAGTCTGTACTCTTTGACCTACTAATTCTATTAGGAATGCCACCTAATAACAGAAATGGACAGATGTTCAAAGATGACTGTAAAGCAGTACTGAATATTGCAAAGATGTCAGTTGTGCTGAAATTAATCCATATATTTGGCATGTAAAAAAACTAGAAATCATCTAAGTGTCCAGCCATAGAAAACGAATATGCATTGACACAGTAAAGTAATGGTCTGTGTGGGTCCTTCCTTTTAGGCAGGCGTAATCTATTTCAGGAATATACCTGGCATTGGAATAGTGTCTATTTATAGAGTTCTGATACATAATTGACTACTCCCAGCATTCCTTTGAGGATAGGTAGATAGTTCCTATAGTTCAGTAAGTGGCCAGTATGACTAAAAACTGGTACCAGTTTCCTCTGAAAAGAACTAGGGCTCCTGAAGATATGGTTGATTACAAGAACCTGGAATATCTTGCCATCACAGAAAACAAAAAAATTCTACTAAGGACCACTGGAGTAATATCAAAAGGACACAGATTAATATCCAGTCAGCACTCAGTGGATCTCCTAGTGGCCAAGTATGGGACAATTTGAACATCAAAAGGAATAATGCCTAAAAGACTATTTTTACATGTCCTTGCTGTAATATACATAATATATGCTCAGCAATCCATAGAATAATTTGTTCTTGAATTTTTATTTACTTTTAAGAAACCATATGAATACCACCTAACTATTCTGTTAAAAAATCCAACTTCAGTAATTTGTTTTAGGAATTTTTCTCATATAATAGAAATTTAAGAGACGTTGTAAGAAGATGGAATGAATGCCATCTAAAAACATCTTTTATTTTTCAGGATGAAGTTCCTGTTGGAATTAAATCTGCAAGCTACAAGGTATGTATGTAAACCTATTGATGTGTCTAATATCTTAATGAAAACTTGAAAAACCTGTTTCCCTTGTACCTACTGTCACATTTATCGGCTTCCAATGGTGAAACCCATTGAGAGGTATTTATACTGAATGGCTTTCTTTCTTTCTTTCTTTTTTAATTTTTTTCTTTATGTTTGTTTTTGTTTAACATTTTATTTTATTTTATTTTATTTATTTATTTTTTGACAGAGTCTCGCTCTGTTGCCCAAGCTGGAGTGCAGTGGTGCGATCTCGTCTCACTGCAACTTCCGCCTCCAGGTTATAGCGATTCTCCTGTCTCAATCTCCCGAGTAGCTGGGATTACAGACACCCACCACAATGCCTGACTAATTTTTGTATTTTAGTAGAGGCGGGGTTTCACCATATTGGCCAAGCTGATATTGAATTACCTCAGGTGATCTGCCTGCCTCAGCCTCCCAAAGTGCTGGGTTTATAGGCATAAGCCACTGTGCCTGGCCTGTTTAAAATTTTATCATAGAAAATATCAAAGATAAATAAAAACAGAGGAAAAGAAATGTATGTGAAAGTCCATACTTTATTCAGATTCCTTTAGTTTTTTTTTTTTTTTTTTGAGAGACAGAGTCTTGCTCTGTCACCCAGGCTGGAGTGCAATGGCGTGGTCTCAGCTCAGTGCAACCTCTGCCTCCTGGGTTCAAGCGATTCTCCTGCCTTAGATTCCTGAGTAGCTGGAATTACAGGTGCCCACCACCATGGCTAGCTAATTTTTGTGTTTTTAGTAGAGATGGGGTTTCACCGTGTTCGTCAGGCTGGTCTTGAACTCCTGACCTTGTGATCTGCCTGCCTTGGCCTCCCAAAGTGCTGGGATTATAGGCATCAGCCACTGTGCCTGGCCTTTTTTTTTGGTAATGGACAAGAGCTGGCTGTGTTGTCTAGGCTGGAGGGCAGTGGCGTGATCATAACTCACTGTAACCTTGAACTCTGGGGCTAAAGTGTTTCCCTTCAGCTTTCTGAGTAGCTGAGACTATAGGCACATGCCTCCATGCCTAGATAATTAAAAAAAATTTTTTTATAGAGATGGCATCTTGCCATGTTGCACAGGGTGTTTGTTCTCAAACTCCTGACCTCAAGGGATTCTCCTGCCTTAGCCTCCCAAAATGCTGGGATTACATGCATGAGCCTCCACACTGGGCCAGATTTCTTTAATTTTTACCTAATATTCTTTTTCTGTTCTAGAAATATACCCACCCCATATACTACGTTATATTTAGTAATTACGTCTTAGGCTTCTCTTAGCTGTAACCATTTCCTAGTCTTTGTTTCTGTTAAGGTGTTTTTGAGTAGTACTAGTCAGGTGTATTTTATAGACCGTTCCTCAGTAGGGATTTGTCTAATGTTTTTCTTACAACTAGACTGGGATTATGGGCTTCAAGGAGGAAGACCACACAGATTAAAGTGCCATTTTCATCACGTCACTGGCACCATGACTTATCCCTGGTAATGCTAACCTTGATCACCTGGCTGAGGTCGTTTTTGTCAAGTTTCTCCACTGTCGATTTACTGTTTTTACTTTTTCCATACTGTGTTCTTTGGAAGGAAGTCAGTGTGCACAGTTTACACCTAAGGAGTGTGGAGTTATTCTCCATCTCCCTGAGGACAGAGTATTTAAAGAAATTATTTGGAATTCTCCAGTATGGGAAATTTATGTCTTCTTCCCCCATTTACTTACTTATTCAATCATTAGTATCGTTATGGACTCAAGAGTATTTATTGTACACTTTGGATTATAATTTGGTACTACTTGTTTTAGTCACTCCAGATTGCTATAGCGGTATCATATGGTGGCTTAAACAGCAAACATTTATTTCTCACGGTTCTGGAGACTGGGAAGTCTAAGATCAAGGTACCAGCCAATTTGGTTCCTGTTGAGGGTACTCTTCCTGGTTTGCAGATCAGGTTGTTCATTCGTTCCTTCCTTCCTTCCCCTTCCCCTTCCTTTTCCCTCTCCTTTCCCCTTTCCTTTCCTCTTTCCTTTCTTCTCTCCTTTCCCCTCTCCCCTCTCCCCTCTCCCCACTCTCCCTTCCCCCTTCTCTCTTCCCCCTTCCCCTCCCCTCTCCTCTCTTCCCCTCCCCCCTTCCCCTCCCCTCCCCTCCTGGCCAACATGGCAAAACCCCATGTTTACTGAAAATACAAAAATTAGCTGGGCATAGTGGTGCATGTCTGTAGTCCCAGCTACTCGGGAGGCTGAGGCAGGAGAATCACTTGAACCCTGGGGGCAGAGGTTGGAGTGAGTTGAGATCACACTACTGTACTCCAGCCTGGGTGCCAGAGCGAGACTGCATCTCAAAAAAAAAAAAAAAAAAAAAAAGACGTTCAGATAACTTCTAAATTTTAAAAAAGATTTTAAAATGCAGTAAGTTATATTCTATTTATTCCCTTTTTCATTTTAGTATTCTGAAGAAGCCAACAATCTCATTGAAGAATGTGAACAAGCTGAACGACTTGGAGCAGTGGATGAATCTCTGAGGTTTGAATATATTTTTCAGCAGTATTTCATGTTTCTTTATGTCACATATTAACTTAAAAATAATAATGTTATTTATTTTCTTTGTTTGAAGTGAGGAAACACAGAAGGCTGTTCTTCAGTGGACCAAGCATGATGATTCTTCAGATAACTTCTGTGAAGCTGATGGTATAATATTTTTTATGTATTATGTTTAAAATTGTACCTAAGAAAATATTTTTTAAAAATTATTTAAATCTGGGCATGGTGGCTTGTGCCTATAGTCCCAGCTTTTCTGGAGGCTGAGGCAGGAGAATCACTTGAGCCCAGGTGTTTGAATCCACACCGGGCAACATTGCAAGACCCTATCTCAGAAAAAAGTTATTAAAGAAAAAAACTCGGTTTCTAACAGTTTGGTGATTCTTCAAAAACCTAAACATAGAATTAGCATATGACAACAGTTCCTTTCCTAGGTATGTACTAAAAAAAATTAAAGACAGGGGCTTAAACAGATAGCAAAGCAATGTTCATTGTAGCCAAAAAGTCGTAACAACCCAATTGTCCAGCACGGTTTGAATGGATAAACAAAATATGGTATATAATATACACAGTGGAATACTATTCAGCCAGAAAAAGGAATGAAGTTCTGATACATGCTACAACATGGATGGACCTTGACAATATGATAAGTGAAATAGGTCAGGCATCAACGGACAATTATTAAATGATTCCACTTTCATGAAATGTCAAGAATAGGCAATTTCATAGAGACAAAGTAGACTAAAGATTATCAGGGGTTGTGGTGGGTAGGCGTTATTGCTGAATGGTTAGAGTTTCTGTTTAAGGTGCTGGAAAAGTTTTGGCAACAGATAGTGGTGACGGATGCACAGCATTGTAAATATAATGAATCCCACTGAATTGTATACTTAAATGTGGTTGAACTGTAAATTTTATTATACCTATTTTACCACAGTTTAAAAGAACTGTTTCTAGAAAAAATTTACCTCTTAAGTTTTGCAGTTCTATATAGCTAGTAGTTTATATAATTTTGTATATACATTTTGCATAAATAGCTAAAATGTAGGGATTACAAAAACCTGCTTCAGTTATATTGCTGTTGGATTGTTAGGTATTTTCCTTAAATATGGTCCATGTTGCTTTTGGAGAAGAGAATATTGAACCATTAGCTGAGTTTGTGATGTCTAAAGTTAAGCCAGAATGCTGGTGCTGTTAATCTAGAAGCCCTGGAATTCATTAAAACTCTGATTATGGCTCATGCCTATAATCCCAGCTACTCAGGAGGCTAAGGCAGGAGAGTCGCTAGAACCCAGCAGGTGGGGGTTGCAGTGAGCCAAGATTGTGCCACTGCACTGGAGCCTGAGCAACAGAGTGAGAGTCCATCTCAAAACAAAACAAAACAAAACAAAACAAAACCTCTGATCAAGACTTACGGATTTTCCAGTTCTTCCTTTTTCTACTATTTCCTTTTTCTAAGTTGAATTGTTAGCCTCTTAAGTGGCTAAAAAAATCAGTTTGAGTTTTGGTATTCTTCTGTGGCTCTTTTCTAGTGGACTAATGATGTTCAAAATTTAGTGAAAATAGGCCTGGCTTGGTGACTCATGCCTGTAGTCCCAGCACTTTGGGAGACCAACGAGGGAAGATTGCCGAGTCCAGCCTGGGCAACATGAGAAAAGTCTGTCTCTACAAACAATACAAAAATTGGCCAGGCCAGTAGTCCCAGCTACTCAGGAGGTGGGAGGATTACTTGAGCCTGGTAGGTTGAGGCTGGAGTGAGCCATGATTACACCACTGTATTGTAAGCCTAGGACAGAGTGAGATCCTGTGTCAGAACAACAGTAGCAACAACATATTAGTGAATACAGTGATATAAATTCTTTTAATTATAAGCAAAAGATGAAGTCTACAGTCTCCATGAAAGATAAAGTATTTTTAATTTTGTGGCTTCTTTTTGGGGAAAATTGCTTTCCTTAATGGAGGCGGTAGCCATGTTTTGGTGTATACTTAGTTACAATTCCTTATTTCCAGTTCTAAAATCTGAAAACTCTGAAAACTGAACATTTCTCCCCTTGAGTTTAGCACAGGCTGATTTAGTGTGAGTATTCCTATGTTTCACTGTAGATATATTTATGTGTTTGAATATAGCTTGCTGCCCCACGTCAAGCTGGAGTAATACTCAATATATTTTTCATGCACTGTATTACCTTTGTAAAATACGGAAAGTTCTCCGTTCCATCCAAGACCTGTATGGTCCCAGGCATGTTGGGTAAGGAGTGTAGACCTGTATCAAGATTTGAACTAGTAAAGGAAGGCAACGTGACGTTCTCCCAACACCCTTATTTTGATATCTTTTCTCCAAGGTTTTTTTTTTTTAACCTTAAATATTGTTGTGAGATAAAAGTACCTTTATAATATGCAGCTATAAGTTTTTTAGTCTTCCAATGTTAGAAAAAGAATGGTAATATTTTAACTTTCATTAAAAAGTATCATTTGGAGTCTACAATGTGCTGTACCAAGTGGGAATCAATGATTCATTTCTTTTTTTTTTTTTTTTTTTTTTTTTTGTGAGACGGAGTTTCACTCTTCTTACCCAGGCTGGAGTGCAATGGCGCGATTTCGGCTCACCGCAGCCTCCGCCTCCTGGGTTCAGGCAATTCTGCCTCAGCCTCCTGAGTAGCTGGGATTACAGGCATGCGCCACCATGCCTAGCTAATTTTTTGTATTTTTAGTAGAGACGGGGTTTCACTATGTTGACCAGGATGGTCTCGATCTCTTGACCTTGTGATCCACCCGCCTCGGCCTCCCAAAGTGCTGGGATTACAGGCTTGAGCCACCACGCCCGGCGCAGTTCATTTCTTATATATAGGTAGTGTTTGTTGAAATCACTTGCCCATTTGTATTAGTTTCTTCCATTAAAAAAAGATGAATATTTTAAAGAAAGCTTTAGCAGGAATAAATAATGGATGTAAATGGAACGTGAAATATAGAAGGTATTTTCAGAATCCTAATTGGAAATTTGAGCTTTTGTCAAAAACAGGTTCTAGTCAGTGATAGAAAACAACACATCATACAGGTTTTTGTAGGACATATGTTTTCTGCTTCTAGGGCTGGATATCAGCATCTTTCTGTAAGGGCCAAATGGGCTCTGAAATGCCTACACATTCTACAAAATGTGTTTGACTAGTTTTCTATGAAAAAATTCAGGTTCCATTCAGTGATAGGAACAAGCGCATCTTAAAAATTCTTGGCACAAATATAATTATAGTAATATTTAATATAATTATTGTAATATTTTAAGTATTTGTATAATTAAGCTATAATTGTATAATTGTACTATTTATAGTATAATTATAATTAATATAGTAATATTTTTTATAAGCTTGAAGAAGTATTTACAGTAAGTAAAATTATGAGGCAACAAATGTTTATCTCTAGGTAGAATATTTAAACATTTAATCATTTCTTTTTTTTTTTTTTTGAGACGGAGTTTCACTCTTGTTACCCAGGCTGGAGTGCAATGGCACGATCTCGGCTCACCGCAACCTCCGCCTCCTGGGTTCAGGCAATTCTCCTGCCTCAGCCTCCTGAGTTGCTGGGATTACAGGCACGCGCCACCATGCCCAGCTAATGTTTTGTATTTTTAGTAGAGACGGGGTTTCACTATGTTGACCAGGATGGTCTCGATCTCTTGACCTCGTGATCCACCCACCTTGGCCTCCCAAAGTGCTGGGATTACAGGCTTGAGCCACCGCGCCCGGCCTTAATCATTTCTTGGTGGTTAGTTTTTTTCTCTTAAAGTACTGGATACTGGCCATTATTTACATATTTTAAACATCAGGGTCTAAGAAATGAATTTATTATAATTTATTCTGTGAGGCAATTGTCTTCAGTATTAATTGAAATGAACAGTTATCCATTCCTGAACTAGAAGATTCCATCTTAATTTGATTTTTAAGTCCTATATTTTGTTTTTCTAGTTATTTTAATTGCCACTTCTGCATTGAACTCTGCTATTTTAAGATGCTGTCATTGTACTGCTTCTAGAAGCAATGTTCCCCCTAATTTATGCCTAATATACTGTGAATTGGAGTAAAAATAACAAAGCTTAGGGTTTTTTTTTGTATTTGTTTTTTAATAATAAAAATGGGTTTAGTTCAGAGCTTGATGGACTCTCCTGTAAGCACTTTTGTGCTCATATTTTTGTCATTGACTTTGCTTGCATCAAGACTGTTTTTGTCTACTTTTTCATTCTTTGTTGGCTCATATTGTTAAGCTTTATATATGAATAAAGTATTATTATATTACCAAATAATTTCCCAAAGTCACTGGAGGTCTATGGTCCATCTTTTTTTTGAGACAGGGTCTCACTCTCTTGCCCAGGCTGTGCAATCATGGCTCACTGCAGCTTGGACCTCCTGGACTCAAGCGACTCTCCCACCTCAGCCTGCTGAGTAGCTGGGACCACAGGCACATGCCATGATGCCTGGCTAATTTTTGTATTTTTTATTGATGCTTGGTGTTTCACCATGTTGCCCAGGCTGATCTTGAACTGCTGGGCTCTACCCTCAGGCCTCCCAAAGTAATCTACCCTCAAGCCTCCCAGAGTACTGGGATTACAGTCATGAGCCATTGGGCCTGGCCTGGGGCCATGTTTTTTGTTTTGAAGTTATAACACGTTATAAATGATAAATAAGTAACAGGATCTGGATTCTAACCTGGGTGTTCTGTCTCCAAAGCCTATTGTCTAACTCTTCTGTGATGTTGGTTGTTTAGGTTGCGTCCAATTTTTCCTTTTATAAATGATGCTGACACAGAATCATTCTGCACTGTAACTTTTGCTTTATGCCAGGTTGGTAGCAGATCCTGCTGGTAGTCATCTAAGAAGAAAGTATTTGGTAACAAGCAGTGTGCAATACTAATACTCCTTAATTTACTGTAGTTATTGATGAACTACTGTAGTTAATGTGGAGGGAAATGTGTGTTGTATTCTTTGTCTGGATAGCTTGTAAGAATTGAATTACTATGTTTCTTTGATTCTAAAATTCACATATTTCTATTTTTACAATTCCTAAAATCATCATAATGTTTTTGTAGCCAGTGTGTACAATTAATGTGGTTGTGTGTGTTTCTCTCTCTTTTCCTTCCTTTCTTTTCTTTTTTTTTTAGACAGAGTCTTGCTCTGTTGTCCAAGCTGGAGCACAGTGGCATGATCTCAGCTCACTGCAGCCTCCACCTTCTGGGTTCAAGCGATTCTCCTGTTGCAGCCTCCCAAATAGCTGGGACTATAGGCATGCACCACCACACCTGGCTAATTTTTGTATTTTTAGTAGAGACAGTGTTTCACCTTGTTGGCCAGGCTGCCTTCCAACTCCTGACCTCCCTTTGCCTCCCAAAGTGCTGGGATTACAGGCATGAGCCACTGCACCTGGCCTCCTTCCTTTCTTTGTCCTGAAAAGTTGTTTTAAAATCCCTGACACATTGTTATATTTGTGGTGCCTTAGAATCAATGGAATACAGTCTTGTATACTAGCTTTTTAAGGTAACTGAGGATAAGATTTAATAAGACGTTTTATTTTACAGACATTCAGTCCCCTGATGCTGAATATGTAGATTTGCTTCTTAATCCTGAGCGCTACACCGGTTACAAGGGACCAGATGCTTGGAAAATATGGAATGTCATCTATGAAGAAAACTGTTTTAAGTATGTGTCATTTTCATTTAGAAAAATATCAAATTCACTTGGTTAAAAGATGTATTTCTACAAGGAAACATGGCTATTCATTAATCCAGTTTCCTTCTGGGGAATTATATAGATGTGAGTTTCCACAAATTTTTCCTTTTTTTTTTTTTTTAAAGAGTTAGAGGAGTATTAAACTTTTATGGAAGTATTGTAGGTACTTGACAAATGTTCCTTGAGTAGATTACAGGATCTTATTTTATAGATGAGATAACTTAAAGCTGGAGAGGTTTGCTTCATTTTCCAAGATCACATGGTTAGTGACAGTGTAGAGAAAAGAATCTATAACTCTTAAATTCTCTCTTTGGTGCTCTGTACTCCCCTTTCTGTGGCTTTGGTTGTTTTACAGTTAAATTGATTTCAGAGGACAATTATAATAGGTACCATTTTTGAGTGCTCACTGTATACTAGGCATTGTGGTAAGCATGTTACATACATTTTCTCCTTTAGTCATTGCAATACCCTGTGGTGCAGTCATCACTGTTTCATAGACAGAGAAATAGAGGGGTTAAATGATTTGTTCAGTGTCAACTAGTAAGTGAAGAGCCCACTTTGTACTGGGTAACCATTATGCTGGAGGCAGTTACTGGTCACTGGGTGTCTGAGAAATGCTTCAAGTTACTCACATGTAAGCCTTGAGGCGCTAAACAGTGCACTTACGTGTTTTTGGAAAGAATGTATGTGCGAGCATGTTGTGCTATCTTAGAGATGGAAAGAGTTCTGGGAAAATTTTTAGTGTTCCCAAATACGGGGATAATATTATATATTTCACTTTTTATAAGTCAAACATAAATATGAGATCAGTAATTATGCTTACACCAATAAAATGTCATACTGTGGTGTGTTTGTTTTTTTTTTTTTTTTGACTTGAGTTTCTCCAATTTGGAAAGTAGAGAGTTTTTATTAATTACTTATTTCTGCCATGTATTTTATTTATTTATCTTATTACTAGAAATGTTTGATTTACTGACTTAATGATTTACTTTAAAGGTTTTTTTTTTGTTGTTGTTTTTCATTTTTTTTTTTTGGATAGAGTCTCTGTCGTTAAGGCTGGAGTGCAGTGACTCATCTTTGCTCACTGCAACCTCTGCCTCCCAGGTTCAAGTGATTCTCCTATCTCCGCCTCCCCAGTACCTGGAACTACAGGAACACACCATCACGCCTGGCTCATTTTTGCATTTTTAGTGGAGACAGGGTTTCACCATGTTGGCCATGCTATTCTTGACTCCTGACCTCAGGTGATCCACCCACCTTGGCCTCCCAAAGTGCTGGGATTACAGGCGTGAGCCACTGCACCTGGCCCTGTTGTTGTTATTTTTAATGTGAATTAAGAAACCATGAAGCATTTGTTACATTTGTATGACTTTTTTTTTTTTTTTTTGAGAAGGAGTTTCGCTCTTGTTACCCAGGCTGGAGTGCAATGGCGCGATCTCGGCTCACCGCAACCTCCGCCTCCTGGGTTCAGGCAGTTCTCCTGCCTCATCCTCCTGAGCAGCTGGGATTACCAGCATGCGCAACCATGCCTAGCTAATTTTTTTGTATTTTTAGTAGAGACGGGGTTTCACCAGGATGGTCTTGATCTCTTGACCTCGTGATCCACCCACCTCAGCCTCCCAGAGTGCTGGGATTACAGGCTTGAGCCACCGCGCCCGGCCTGATTTGTATTACTTTTATAGTCATTTTCGTACAAATTAGTATCCTGATTCTCATGATTTGTAATATAAACACTGTATAAGGGGCTAAGTTAATCATATGGTGTATTTTAAAATATAGCTTACATATTCTGTTCTCAAAATGTCTTCAGTTGTACAAATTTTTTAAATGGATGTTAAAACAATCCCTATAGTTTACTAATAATCTGATGCATATTTATTTTGGGATTTAAAAGCACTTTAGTGACATATTAACTCTCCAGAAAATTTCTATCTTTTTCCTACTGAACAAACAACTTTTATTTAAATTTTAACAAACTTAGCCACAGGGCAAATTGATGTATCTAAAGATTACATAAGTGGAAAATAATCTGTACTATTAAAAAAAATTTTTTTTTTTTTTTTTTTTTTTTTTGAGACGGAGTTTCGCTCTTGTTACCCAGGCTGGAGTGCAATGGCGCGATCTCGGCTCACCGCAACCTCCGCCTCCTGGGTTCAGGCAATTCTCCTGCCTCAGCCTCCTGAGTAGCTGGGATTACAGGCACACGCCACCATGCCCAGCTAATTTTTTGTATTTTTAGTAGAGATGGGGTTTCACCATGTTGACCAGGATGGTCTCGATCTCTCGACCTCGTGATCCACCCGCCTTGGCCTCCCAAAGTGCTGGGATTACAGGCTTGAGCAACCGCGCCCGGCAAAAAATTTTTTTTAAATTTTAATGCTTATATTATTTTTTGCTTGTCTTTCAGTTGGGATACACTTTGTGCCATACATGCACATATATGTAGATATGTATATATAATACATATAAAAACATAGTAGTGACTCTAGAAGAGCTTGGCTGATACTCTCTCTTCTTTTGTTTAAAGAAGTGATTAGCAAATGACCTGCTGGCTGCTACTGTGGGAAAAGATCAGGAATTAGGCCAGGTGCGGTGGCTCAAGCCTGTAATCCCAGCACTTTGGGAGGCCGAGGCGGGTGGATCACGAGGTCAAGAGATCAAGACCATCCTGGTCAACATGGTGAAACCCCGTCTCTACTAAAAATACAAAAAAATTAGCTGGGCATGGTGGCACGTGCCTGTAATCCCAGCTACTCAGGAGGCTGAGGCAGGAGAATTGCCTGAACCTAGGAGGCGGAGGTTGCGGTGAGCCGAGATCGGGCCATTGCACTCCAGCATGGGTAACAAGAGCGAAATTCCGTCTCAAAAAAAAAAAAAAAAAAAAAAGATCAGGAATTATTATCACTGAAACAAATAGCCACCTTCCCTTAAAGCAATTAGAGAAACTAAATATTTTTTAATCTCAATAAAACAATTTGATTTTGGATATTCAGCAACTTTCTGAGATAGTATCATTTAAAAACAACATGATTGGTAACGTATTTGTGTTTACATTTTAATTCTTTTTGTTTCTAGGCCACAGACAATTAAAAGACCTTTAAATCCTTTGGCTTCTGGTCAAGGTAAGTTACTTATTTGCATTGTTATATTATTTATCAGCTAGGGAACTTTGATTCGAAGGAGGTGGGGGCAAGATAAATGGCAGTAATAGTTGAGGTCATATAATCCACAGTCCTGCTTCCATAGAAGTTATGCTTCACCCTTGCAGAGATTGGCACTTGAAATATTTGTACTTCAGTAAGAAGTATTTTTATGATGAAGTTCATGGTATTAGATTATCAAAAAATAAAGATTAGGATATATATTTATTCTTCCATATATTTTTGCAGATACACTGTGTCCGTTTTAAAAAATTTTTACTCATCTCAGAGATAAATATACAAAACTCACAAATTTTTTCTAAAACTTGAAATTCCTGCATATATTGGGAGTTTGATTTCAACTTTACATGTCTTTAAATTGTAATAGCATTTTTAATACTCTGTTTTCACTCAAGGTCTGGTTCAAATGCTGCTTTTTCCATAAAACTTTCCCTAGTCCTTATACCCAGAAGTAATTTCTTCTTCCTCATGAAGTAATCTTATGCATGTGTTTGTAGTTTTTTTTTGTGGGGGGAGAAGATGAGGGTAGGTGGAGTTTCACTCTTTGTTGCCTAGGCTGGAGTGCAGTGGCGCAGTCTGGGCTCACTGCAACCTCTGCCTCCCAGGTTCAAGTGGTTCTTCTGTCTCGGCCTCCTGAGTAGCTGGAATTACAGGCAGTTGCCACCATGTCTGGCTAATTTTTGTATTTTTAATAGAGACAGTGTTTCACCATATTGGCTGCGCTGGTCTCGAACTCCTGACTCCAGGTGATCCTCTGGCCTCAGCCTCCCAAAGTGCTGGGAACAGGTGTGAGCCACCACACCTGGCAATGTTTGTATTTTTAATTCTTTTGTTTTCCTCTTGCGGCCTTTTCCACTGTGTAGCATTATTTTATTATTATTTATATATCTGTATATCTATTGATTTACCCCTGTACTCTGAACATATGGGTAGCATGTATCTGTTTTATCTCTCAGCATAGAGCCTGACACATCATAGATGGAGTAGTTTGTTAGATACATGATCATGGAAAATTGCTCTCCTCATTGAATGATCTTGTCTACAATAGTGAAGTCGGTTGTTCTTTCAGCAAATGATTATCAACCATTCACTGTGTGCTAGGCACTGTGTAGATGCTAGAGGGGATGTAAAATTAAAATTTACAAAAACCCTGCCCAGTCAGTAATATGAAGAATGGTTTGCTGAGTAAGCCATTTCAGTGTATGATTTCAGACTGTTTTCTTTAGAAATTATATATCCTTATTCTCTTCAAATATGTGCTTATTGATAAAATCTTTAATGTGCTTTTAGCAAAAGTGCTTAGTTCTCATTTTAAAAATTTATTTGAAAAGATGCTTATCTCAAATAGTTAATACATATAAATTTCCTCCTAGAAGGAGATGAGATTACATCATGCCCTAAATTCTGGAAGGTTTCTCTTAGATTGGAAATGAAAAATCTTTAAATAAGGCTTTTGGGTTTATACAGTCACATGTGGTGACTTGGTGGAAGCCATTGATTTAATATCAGATGAAATGCAAATTAATAGAAAAGAGGAGATCATTATGAACTCACATTATGATTTGATAAAGTAATTAACCGCATCACTTACCATAAAGATACATAGGAACAATTTAAATGTTTATTGTTAGGGAACTGGTTAAATAACTTATGGTATAGTGACATAGTAGTAAATAGCCATTTATAAATGTGGCTGTAAATTTTTATTCATTTAAATGAAAAGTGACCAATAACACAGTGAAGAAAAGCAGGTATCAAAATAATATGTGTAATAAATTTTTATAAAAACATGACTAATATATCTATAAACAAAAAAGATATTCACTAAAATGTAAATAGTATTTATCTTTGGGCTGGGTAATTATGAATAATTTTTTGTCATCTTTTAAAAAAATGTATATTTGCAATGATTATATATTTCTTTAATAAACTGATTGCATTAAAAAACTGGGCAAAATTTTTGAAGACAAATTTTCAGTAGTAAATAAGCAGCTGCATACAAAGTACTGTATTATGTATAAGTTGAATCTTATAAATAGCCTGTGAAAATAGTCCCAACTGAGGTTAAATATTATAAGGCCAGGCTGGATGTTTCAAAGCAATAATAAAAATCTTTAATGGAGACTATATTATAGTTTTAGGATAAATAAATGTAGAAAAACTCTCTGCCAGTGAAATAAACATAGGTCCTTCAGATATTGAAGAGTACTCTCAGGTGATGGATTACTTTTTTCTCTCCTGTCAGGCTATATTAAATCTTAGGTGAGCCGAACCTCCTAATGCACACTCATGGAGGTAACGCCATTTAGTCAAATCAGGCATAATTCATATCACCACCAGATAAAGTTGCAGTCACGAATGTCTCACTTTCAGATTTTACTTGTGTGAATGAACTGTTGGACTAAAACTAACCATTATTAAAGTTTTATTTTTATGAAAATGTAGCATTATAAAAGGGATACTGGAAGTTTATTTTAATAAGCATTTTGTTTTGCTTTTCAGGGAAAAGTGAAGGTAAGTACAATTTCTTTATTATATATTACATATATGAATTTGTTTATAGATTCAGATGTTTATTATGGCAAACTTCCCACCTCTAAAAATCAGAACTTAATTTTTACTTATTTATCTGAAAGTCTGGAGGTACTAGCACAGGATAAGGGAAGGTGACTTTTTGTGTCTGGCTTCAGGTGTTAGAAACAGCATGCCTCAGCCTCTGATCATTCATTTGCACGTTTTACATCCTGAAGGTGGAAGTATTTCCACTCCCCACCTCCCCTATTGCCTCAGGCTAGGGAAACATCCTCTGTCTTTTACTGGTTGAACTCTAGGATCTGCTGGGTTTCGAAGGTTCTGGGCATTGATTCCAGAGCTGGCTTCTAAGGTTGATGCTGACTGGTGAATGTAGGTGTCATTGCCAGGTCTAACTAATGCTAAAAATTTCAACATACTTTAGGTTGACTTTGTTTTTTTCTTTAAGGGTGAAATAAAAATGACTTTTGTTATTCTTAAGACCATATGCTCAACAATATGAAAAGACTTAACCCTTAGCTTTAGTCTATCTAGGTGAAATTGCTAAAATGTGAAGTATCACTTTTCTTTCCCTCAAAATCCTCTATTTTCCTAACAGAATTCTTATGAATTGCTTTTGGATTGTGTCTAAATAACAGAATACTAAAGTCTGATAACATTGCTGTTTTATTATCATACTTTATATTATAGTAACTGTAGCAGCTAAATAAAATGCTGACTCAGACCTGTTTGGAAGAGAAATTGTTTAGTAGTGAGATTATTTTTCCAAAGATGTCTCATATTTGCTACTGGTATATGTGATTCTGTAATTTTCAGTTTTGAGTAACCTTCTTCTACCTTGGGCATCAACCTAGTTCTATGCTATATTCTAGCCACATTAGAGGAGGCTACTATGATTTTTCAATTCTATTTGAAGACCTCTTATTATCAGAAAAAAGATCATTAACTTGTGGGAGCCATCCTTAAAGAAACTGTCTTATTTATAAGTATTGATTTCGGCCAAATACCAAAGGGTTATTCCCGACAGCTATCATATTAAGTGATTGTTTAGACCACAGTCAGGTCAACTTGAGAATAGGTACTTCAGGATTATAATATTGAACTGATTCCTGGCAGGGCACAGTGGCACACGCCTATAATCTCAGTACTTTGGGAGGCTAAGGCAGGTTGATCACTTCAGGCCAGGAGTTTCAGAAAAGCCTGGCCAACATGGTGAAACTCTGTCTCTACTAAAAATACAAAAATTAGCTGAGTGGGGTGGCACATGCCTGTGATTGCAGCTATGCAGGAGGCTGAGGCAGGAGGATCACTTGAGGTTGGGAGGTGGAAGTTACAGTGAGCCGAGATGGAGCCACTGCCCTCCAGCCTGGGTAACAGAGCGAGACTCTGTTTAAAAAAAAAAAAAAAAAAAAAGCCCCCAGCCCGCCACACCTGGGTAACAGAGCGAGACTCTAAAACACACACACACACAGACACACACACACACTCTCTCTCTCTCTCTCTCTCTGAACTGAAAATTTCACTGGAAGCCTAGGTCCGGTATTATCCCCAACTCCCTAATTCATGATCAAAAACTTGAAAAAAAGAACCCTGAAGATTTTCGTAAGGAAATAAATCCCTTGTAATCCCACCATCCCCAGGTAATAACTCCTTGCCACTCTTCTAAGCAATTTACAAATAGGATTTCATTTAATTTTTTTCAACAATTCTAGGAAGTATTATTCCTGTCTCTATTTTTTGGATGAAGAGAGGTTCAGCATCTTGACTAAAATCATATGATTTGTAAATAGCAGAGAGTTAAGATTTAAATCGAGCAGTTTGACTCCAGGAAGCATACCCTTCATTACTACCAGATATGCTTCTCTGCTAACATTTTGATATTTATGTTTTACATATATAAATAGTTTTGTCCAATACTTGTCAGCATTAAAGATTATCATATTTTTGTCTTATTAGGTAGGTAATAGTCATGTATCTTTTGTTTTTATTGCCCATAAGCCCAATTTTTTTTTGTTTTATATGGAGTCTCACTCTGTCACCCAGGCTGGAGTGCAGTGGCACGATTTTGGTTCACTGCAACCTCTGCCTCGTGGGTTCAAGCAATTCTCCTGCCTCAGCCTCCTGAGTAGCTTGGGCTACAGGCATGCACCACCATGCCTGGTTAAGTTTTGTATTTTTAGTAGAGACGAGGTGTCACCACATTGGCCAAGATGGTCTTGATCTCTTGACCTGTGATCCGCCCGCCTTGGCTCCCAAAGTGCTGAGATCACAGGTGTGTACCACTGCACCTGCCCAACAATTTTTGTCTGTTATCATTTGTAGTTTTTCCTTTGTGAATTTGGAAATTCATATTATTTGCCTCTTTTCAAGTGGGCATTTTAGCATTTTTATTTAGTTTATGAGCTTTTTATATATTTAGGATCTTATCCCTTTGTTATATTTACAACACACATTTTACCCTGTTTGTGGTTTGTATTTTGCTTTTGCTTATGAAGTATTCTGACAAATAGATGTTTTCAGTTTTTATGTAGTACAATTTATTGCTTATTCCCTCTGCCATTCCTTCCATTACTTTTATGCTCGTTTGGTTCATTTTTAACATAACTGTAACCAACTTTAGCAAAAAACACTGTACAGTGTTTATCATCTCTGTAGCAAATGCATACATGAATCTTTACAGAGTTATAATAATTTTTATGCCTTTTCTATAATATTTCAAGTAGACATTTTAATGTATTGGCTATGTTCTGCATTCTTATTCCCATAGTTGGATGTTATTTGACCATGTAAATCAGTTAGTTAGCATTCTTTCATGTTAATTTCACCATTATCATATTTGTAGAATTACCAGGCATTAAATATATCGACAATGATCTTATTAGGTCATAAGAATATAAGTGATAATTGGTTTTTGTAACATTTCTCTAAATTGCTATTTTGAAATAGTGAATGGCATGTAATATTAGCTAATACGTATAGTACCCCTCTGATACTATCTTCTTTTAATTTTTTTCCAATTTAAAAAGCATGTAATGAATCCTTAATTTTCATAGCATCAGTTGTTATCAAGGCTAAGTATTTTCCCTTTTTTTTTTTTTTTTTTTTTTTTTTTTTGAGACGAAGTTTCGCTCTGTCTCCAGGCTGGAGTGCAGTGGCCTGATCTCTCTCACTGCAACCTCTGCCTCCTGGATTCAAGCCATTCTCCTGCATCAGCCTCCCGAGTAGCTGGGACTACAGGCATGTGCCACCATGCCCAGCTAATTTTTTTTGTAATTTTAGTAGCGACACGATTTCACCATGTTAGCTAGGATAGTATTTTTTTTTTTTTTTTTTTTTTTTTTTTTGAGATGGAGTTTCGCTCTTGTTACCCAGGCTGGAGTGCAATGGCGCGATCTCGGCTCACCGCAACCTCCGCCTCCTGGGTTCAGGCAATTCTCCTGCCTCAGCCTCCTGAGTAGCTGGGATTACAGGCATGCGCCACCATGCCCAGCTAATTTTTTGTATTTTTAGTAGAGACGGGGTTTCACCATGTTGACCAGGTTGGTCTCGATCTCTCGATCTCGTGATCCACCCACCTCGGCCTCCCAAAGTGCTGGGATTACAGGCTTGAGCCACCGCGCCCGGCCCTAGGATAGTCTTTATCTCCTGACCTCGTGATCCACCCACCTCAGCCTCCCAAAGTGCTGGGATTACAGGCGTGAGCCACCGTGCCCAGCCATATTTTTCCATTCTTGATTGATTTACTATTTAAATTCTGTATTTTGACCTCATGTAAAACACTTTAACCAGGAAGTTATGAGACTGGGTCTACCTAAGGCAATGCTAAAGCTTTTTAAAGACCAAGTAGCAGACTGGTACTTAACTGAATCCATACCACAAACTTTTCTTCTTCCTTTTGAGAAATTGCATTTAATACTTGGACTGTTAGGTTAAACAATCTTTAAATTGCTGTTTGCCACAAATTTGCTATAATGGTTTAAAACTTTTGAAAAACTTGTATTTTGGCATTTTTCCAGTCTTACGAGTTATTTTTCTTTTGATTTCAGAGAACACTTTTTACAGTTGGCTAGAAGGTAATAAGAAACTTTAAAATACATTTCAATGATGATTTTTTTTCTCATGAGATTAAGTTTATGTCTACAAGATTCACATATGAAATTTTATTTCTAAGTCTCTGCTTTTTCTTAGGCCTCTGTGTAGAAAAAAGAGCATTCTACAGACTTATATCTGGCCTACATGCAAGCATTAATGTGCATTTGAGTGCAAGGTATCTTTTACAAGGTATGTGACATTTGCTTTGATTCACTTTACCACTCTTAATTGTAGATATTCTTAAAATTTTCCTGGCATTGGCCCGAATGGGAAAAGATTGACCTGATTGAATATTAGGCAGTAAAAATTCACTCTTAAATGGTACTAATCAGAAAGGTGGGAACTGTAGATACAGTTGAACAGTTAAATATATTCTTAGCTTTCTTCACTTTCTTTTAAGAAGTTGCTCAGAATTGTACATATCACTTTGGAAATATTCTTTTGTTTTCTTGTGGAAATTTAAATAGCTCCTAACAGCACAGTCTGCTGTTGGATAAGCAGTATTGTATCAAAACCTTTTCATTTGTGTGTCAGTATCAGGCCTGGTGTTTAAATGGGTAAAAGCCTTTCCTGCTGCTGTTTATGCTTTAATACTATTTAAAATAAGACTGGTTGATTTTCTTTTTTTTTTTTTTTTTTTTTGAGATGGAGTTTCGCTTGTTACCCAGGCTGGAGTGCAATGGCGCGATCTCGGCTCACTGCAACCTCCACCTCCCAAGTTCAGGCAATTCTCCTGCCTCAGCCTCCTGAGTAGCTGGGATTACAGGCATGCGCCACCATGCCCAGCTAATTTTTTTGGATTTTTTAGTAGAGACGGGGTTTCACCATGTTGACCAGGATGGTCTTGATCTCTTGACTTTGTGATCCACCCGTCTCGGCCTCTCAAAGTGCTGGGATTACAGGCTTGAGCCACTGCGCCCGGCCGAGACTGGTTGATTTTCATCAGTACCATATTTCTTCTGGAATTAAAATATTACAAATCTTGGGAAACAAAATATAGAAACTTCCATTTTATTGATTGATTGATTGCTTGGTTGATTGAGACAGGGTCTATTGCCCAGTCTAGCATGCAGTGGCCAGACTTAGCTTGGGAGGTTCTTGGCTTTGCCCAGGAAAATGTTTGAAGGCCAGCTGGTGGCGGCAGGGTACAGCAGCAGCAGAGGTACTGCCCCTCATGGAGCAGAGCTGCCCTATAGGCAGTTTGCCCAGAGCAGCAGCTCATAGGCAGTTCTGCAGTCATATTTATAGTCTCCTCTTTATTATATGCAAATTATGAGGCAGATTATGGAGAAATTTCTAGAAAAAGGGTAGAAACTTCTGGGTCATTGCTATGGAAAGGGGTGGTAACTAATGCATGTTGCCATGGGAATGAGAAACTGACATGGCACACTGGTGGGTGTGCTTTATGGAAAGCTGCTTCCGCCCCCTCCCTGTTTTAGCTAGTTTTCAATTTGGTCCAGTGTTCTGAGTCCCACCTCCTGAGCCAAGTCCTACCTCCTACCTTATGACTACAGAAGCATGCCACCATGCCCAGCTAATTTTTTTTTTTTTTTTGTATTTTTTGTAGAGATGAGGTTTGGCCTCGGACTACCAAAGTGCTGGGATTATAGGCGTGAGCCACCGTGCCTGGCCTAAACTCATTAGTAATTTTAGATTGTCATTTCAAATTGTGTATTCCAGTTTTATGAATATGTTTATATTCAGAAGTTTTATTTTTATTATCTTTTTTCATCTTTAAAAAAGGAAATTTTATTATTTTTCCATTACATGAATTAACCTGGAGGGCAGTATATTTTTTGAAATGAGCCAGGCACAAAGATGATTATTTCATGATTTCACTTACAAAGGCATTCTAAAAAACTTAATCTTATTGAAATAGAGTGAAGTGGTGAGTACCAGACCCCAAGATATTTACGAGAAAGGAGGGTTTGAAAAGATGTTGATCAAAAAATGCACAATTATAATTAATAGAATAAGTTCAGGAGATTTTTTTTATACAGCTTAGTGACTGTAGATCAAAATAATGTATTTGTAGTTTTGAAAAATGCTGACAATGTCACGTGCTCTTGCCACAACACTAACTATATGTAAGGTAATTGCCTAGAATTAAGTATTTGACAATGTATCTATACTTCCAAACATTATGTTTTACAAAATAAATATAGATTTATTTATTACAGATGGTAATGGTATGAATGACAATAAAAGGGCAGGTGTAGCTTATGGCCTTATGACTGGCCACTCTGTGAACACAATAAAAAAGTTTACAAAAAAAAAAAAAAAAACCAGAAGGCTGGGCATGGTGGCTCAAGCCTGTAATCCCAGCACTTTGGGAGGCTGAGGCGGGTGGATCACGAGGTCAAGAGATGTAGACCATCCTGGTCAACATGGTGAAACCTCGTCTCTACTAAAAATACTAAAAATTAGCTGGGCATGGTGGCGTGTGCCTGTAATCCCAGCTACTCAGGAGGCTGAGGCAGGAGAATTGCCTGAACCCAGGAGGCGGAGGTTGCGGTGAGCCGAGATCGCGCCATCGCACTCCAGCCTGGGTAACAAGAGCGAAACTCCGTCTCAAAAAAAACCAAACAAACAGAAAATGGTTTAATCTAAAAGTTGCAATGATCTCCAAAATTTTTCCAGAGAAAATGACCAAGAAGTTGACTACAGTTAGGTGCCTAAGAATATACACTGTAGGCTGACCTTCACCCACTAAAAAAAAATCACATAAAATAAGAGTGAGAAATTCCTCTGAGTTGTATTATCAATATGCAAAAAAAATGTTATTCCAAATTTCACTTCGACAGAGATCATTTTATTATTTTGCAACCTTTAACATTTTTCACTTAAAAGATGCCGCATGGAAACATATGTTGTGCTGTAAGTGTATCATGGAACATTAAATTTAAAATTCTTAACTTTCCATTAACTCTCCTAATAATTTAATTTCTGAGATGTATTTTCTAGCCAATTTTATATGTGTCACACTTTGTGTAAGAATTTAATAAATTTTTTTCTTTTACAAACAGAAAAACAATGCTAAGTTATTTAACTCTCTTACCTGTGGAAAGTGTATGCCTTTTTCTTAATTAACTGATCTGAAAGTTAAATTGATAAGTAAAGTCTCTAATTAAAATCAAATTTTGAGTGCATTAGAAATACCAGCTTTCTCATCGAAACCTACAAAGTACCATGTAAAATGACATGGCATGAAAACACCAATGAGAAAACTGTAGCCATCACATAGAAAAAGAAGGAGAAGGGTTGTGATGAATACACAGAAGACACGTAATAAGACAAACAAAAACTAAGGATAATTAGGAAATAAAGGAAACAGAATTTCTCTTTAAATTCAGCAAGATTTAGCTGTGCAGCATGGAAAAATGTTATCTCCACATGAAGAATTAATCTTACTTCTTCACTATTGATATTTTCCATCTCTGACTTGAACTTACAAACTAACTCTAGCAGGAATATTTATGGCTTATTATGGAGCATCTGTTACACAGTAAGCAGTGTCATGTTTGTTTGCCACATTTATATATAAAAAACATCCTCATGACTTATGAGGCATTCCTAGTTCTTACCTGAACAAATTGGCTCAATAAATATATAAATTTACTTATGTCAATTATAATGAGAACAAAATAAGTAAAAGAAAAAAAAAGGCTTATATAAAATTCTCGAATTAAAAGAACAAATGGAATGTCTTAATTAAATAAAGTATAATACACAATTTTGGAAATATGTCTAAAAATTGTTTTGTGTGCACTAGTAAATTTTATAAAAGTCATTCTTATTAGTCATGACCAGCTCAGATAATGAATACCTCATAAACTATGAAAGAAAAAAATTATGAGACAAGAAAATTATAGGTCTAGCATGAGTACCAAGCAAGGAAAAACAGAAAATTTTCATGGAGAGATTCTGAATCATAAGGCAGAAGATTTTACAGTAATGAATGCAGTCAAAAGCAGAGTATAGATTTGCTTTTAGCATTTTTGAGGTTTTCAGTTTTCTAGTAAATTAGTCACCTTATTAAAATATTTCCTTTGTTCCAATATTGCTCTATTCTTCTGAAAATAGGTATAAACTGATACTCACACAAACACATTTACTCTATAATTTTCTTGCACCTGAGCTTTATTTTTAGAATAATGTATGTGCATAGCTGTTTGTAAGTCAAAACTAAAATTCTGTATGTTTGCAGGCAGAGAGATGACATGTTCAAAGAAAAATACATAACATTTTTTTTTTTTAATTTTAAAGCAGAACTCAGAATTTTAACACTCAGGATTTTATTTATACTTGTAAATAATTTTTATTATACTCATAAAAACAAACCTGTAGTCAATAGCAACTTAATTGTACATCTTAAAATAACTAAAAGTGTAGAATTGGTTAGTAATACAAAAGATAAATGCTAGAGGTGATGAAAACTTCATTTTTCCTGATGTGATTAATATATAAATTATATGTCTGTATCAAAATATGCCATATGTGGCATAAATAGATACTATGTACCCACAAAAATTAAGAATTATTTTTATTATTAGTAAGACTTGCTTTCTCAGTAAAACATTGAATTCATTTTAAGGATTTAAGGGTTCTAGAAAATAAAATATTAATATAAAACTATTAAAGGCTAAATTGTGCAAAAGAATTTTCTTGGTGGTTATTATATAATTTAAAATGTAAAATGAAATTAACTTCTATAGGCATGAATAACCTAATATAATTAAAGTAAAAATTACTTAATTATCAAATTCAGTTTTTAATACTTAATTCTTCTTCCTTCTTAGAGACCTGGTTAGAAAAGAAATGGGGACACAACATTACGGAATTTCAACAGCGATTTGATGGAATTTTGACTGAAGGAGAAGGTCCAAGAAGGCTTAAGAACTTATACTTTCTCTACTTAATAGAACTAAGGGCTTTATCCAAAGTGTTACCATTCTTCGAGCGCCCAGATTTTCAGCTCTTTACTGGAAATAAAATTCAGGATGAGGAAAACAAAATGTTACTTCTGGAAATACTTCATGAAATCAAGTAAATTATATATTAGAATTTATACATTAATAGAAGAGTGACAAGGAATGCACAAGTTTTGTTTTGTTTTTTTTTTTTTTTTTTTGAGATGTCCAGGCTGGAGTGCAGTGGCAGGATCATAGCTCACTGCAGCCTTGTTCTCCTGGGCCCAAGCAGCCCTCTCATGTCAGCCCAAGTAGCTGGGACTATATGTGCAAACCACTACGCCAGGCTAATTTTTTTTGTAGAGATGGGGTTTTGCCATGTTGCCTAGGATTGTCTTGAACTCCTGGGCTCAAGTGATCCACCTACCTTGGCCTCCCAAAGTCCTGGGATTATATGTACAGGCCACTGTGCTCTGCCTCAATTTTTAAAATATTCATTTAGAGAAAAGAAAACTATTTAGAACATAATTAAAAGTTAATTTTGCTTGTAGGTCTTTTCGAATTGAATTTTGCTTTTGTTTTTATTTTGACTTGGGTACTGAAAGGCACACATTTTTAGTTTTAAGAGCCATTCTTTCATTATTTAATACCTCTATTATTTTCATGTTTATCTGAACAAATTGGACCTGGGGTCAAATTTCTGTCTTATACAATTAGAATCTAGATTTGAGGTTTGAGGATAAGAATTTGTTGTGGGACATCGGAGTGTTGGTTTTACTATGTTTTCTCCTCTTTATTTATCACGATCAGTAAAATGTTGTGTTAGCAGGACTTTTAGTATTTATAACACATGAAAATGAATATTCTCTGTTTTAAAATGCAGGTCATTTCCTTTGCATTTTGATGAAAATTCATTTTTTGCTGGGGATAAAAAGGAAGCACATAAACTAAAGGTAATTATTTTATACTTAATTGTTAGATACAGACTGATTAACATTTATGCAGATATGAATATAAACCCATATATATAATACTCATAGAAGTAGAGAGTAGACTAGGTGCAGTGGCTCAGGCCTCTAATCCCAGCACTTTGGGAGGCAGAGGTGGGAGGATTGCTTAAGCCCAGGAGTTCAAGACCAGCTTGGGCAACATTGTGTGAAACCCTGTCTTTAATTAACAAAAAAAGAAGTAGAGAGTAGAATGATGATTACCGCAGGCTGGGAGTGGAGGGTGGATGGGGAAAAAGGGGATGTTTGTCCTCAAGTACAAAGTTTCAGTTAAGGAGAATAAGATTTAATGACTTACTGCATATAATGGTAACTATGGTAATAATGCATTGTGTATTGCAAAATTGCTGAAAGTGTAGATTTAAAGGTTTCCACTATATAAAAAATGATTAAGTATGTGAGGTGATGGATTTGTTAATTAGTGTGATTTAATCACTTCACATTGTACACTTACATTAAACATCACATTTGTATCCATAAACATATGCAGTTTTTGTTAATTAAAAAATAAATATATCTAGCAGTAAATCTTGATATACATCTTGAAATTATAGGAAAAATCAGAGTCATAATCTTTCCTCAAAAAAAATCAAGTTGAAAGGAAGGTGCCACTTAAGGTCTATTTTGCATTATATTCAAAGTAACAGCTGCTATCTGTATATTGCTACACTTTATAGATGCCTTTCACACTGATGATCTCATGTAATAAATAGAGGTAATAAAAGGAATGGATCCAATGCATGAGTAGCGTAGTAGTCTATCTTTTGCTGAAGAAAATTCTGAAGATGATACTGGTTAAATTAAAAGATTCTTGTTAGTAGGAGAAGGTACAGTGTGATGTTTTGTCATTCATCATTTTTTATTGTTATTGAGATGGGATCTCACTCTGTCACCCAGGCTGGAGTGCAGTGATACGATCATGGCTCACTGCTACCTTGACATTCTGTGCTCAAGCAATCCTCCCGCTTCAGTTTTCTGAGTAGCTGGGACCACAGGCATGTACCACCATGCCTGGCTAATTTTTTTTTTTTTTTTTTTTTTTTTTTAAGTAGAGACAAGGTCTTGCTATGTTACTCAGGCTGGTCTTGAACACCTGGGCTCAAGTGGTCCTCCCACCTCAGCCTTCCAAAGTGCTAGGATTACAGGTGTGAGCCATTGCACCCCCTGGCATTCTTCTTATTCACTGGGAATTAATGACAGTTGTGAATACCAGTGTGCAGTAGGGGAAAGAGCAGATTCGATACCCCACAGAATGGGGTCTGTCATTTCCTTGCCTCTTAATATAGGGTCTAACCTCAGGCAAGACCGTCTCTGAATATGCATTTGCCTCATAATACTAGAAATATCAAACATTACCAGGAAGATTTATTACACACTATGCAGAGCATGATATTTTGTCATTAAAAGGAAAGAGAACTTCCACCCACAAGGGATTTCCGGAGGGGGTCAAGTAAAATTATATTACTCTGGTAAGTAAAGGCAGGTGGCCCTCAGAACTACATATAAATACACACATACACACACACACACACGAAATCATATATGTATATCACAGAATCTTTGTAGAGTAATGGGTAATTTTTTTTTTAACGTAGGTTTTAAATTAGTACCTCTTGCTTGGATGTTATCTGGTCATAAAAATAGTAAAAATAAATAAAAGTACCTCTTACTGAATAGGTACTGAAACACAAGATAGAGAATATTCTTAAGATATGTTAACAATTAACATTAATAAAAATTATTAGTCTTAATAAATATATTAGCTGTGATAGATATAGACACATATGTAGAGAGATTTCTATATATATCTATGTCTGATTTCATATATATATTTCATATATATGTGTATTTTTATCTTTTTAGGAGATAGGTCTTATTTTGTCACCAAAGTTGAAGTGCAGAGGCACGATCATAGCTCACTGCAGCCTGTAACTCCCGGGTTCAAGCCATCTTTGCACCTCAGCCTCCTAAGTAGATAGAACTACTGGCTAGCACCACCATGCCCTGCTGACTTTTAAAATTTTTTGTTGAGTTGGGGGGGTGGTCTGACTATGTTGCCCAGGCTGGTTTTGAACTCTTGGCCTCAAGTGATCCTCCTGTCTTAGCCTCCCAGAGTGCTGGGAGTACAGGTGTGAGGCACCACCATACCCAGCCTGATTTCATCAAAATATTTACAAAAATCTTCCTCTGCTTTTTATTCTTTCTTTCTGTAATGAAAGAACCTGATTTTTTGCACTCAGTTTTTTTGCTGTTAGATAATAGTTATTCTTGACTTCCCATATACCTCCTACTTGAAGCATGCTTGCTACAAATACATACCTCACTGCTTATATAATCTGCCTAAACAGCTTCCAGGAACTAGAAAGTGAGGGGGAAGATGCTGTAATAAGACTTCTTTTTTCCTACTATTTTCAGTATGTTTCTTTTTTTTTTTTTTTAAGTTTACTTGCTGCTTTATTGGAAAGTGTTCTGGCATCAGCTCTTTTAAAATCCTGCAGATTAGAAATATTTCTTAGTGTTTTAATTTGATCAGAACTCAGAAACACTCACCTTTAATGTTCTATGAAGAGGTGGAGAGTCTTTATGTAACAGAATTTTTCTGACTCTTTTACAGGAAAGATGTAAAAAACAAAACATGCTAATATCAGAGATTTACTTTTTTAAAAAGTAGTTTCTGGTAAATGTGGATTTGAACAGTCATAAATCAATTTTTAAAATCTCATCTTGTTTCCTTAATATCCTATCAATGTATGGGTAGAAAATAGGGGACTTGCATGAAGGAGAATTATTCAGCATTCAATTCAAATAGAATAGGATCTCATTTGAAGACTTATAAAGTATGTGAGAATTTGGGCGAGAATTGGTCAGTTGGTTTCACTGAATATAAATCACAGCATGCTTGATCATTCATTCTGTTGACTGGCTGTAATTTAAAGTAATGACCTAAAACTGTATGTTTAAACCAGGAAAATCTAGAAGTGATTTAGGTTCTGGTTATTTTAAGGACCATAAATTTTTCTAATCTGAGATAATTAGGGGATATACTCAGGTTATTGTACGTGATTGTTATTTGTGGAAGTCACAAGGATTTTCTCCCATAAAATCCTTACTAATTTTTACTAATTTGATCTAGTAAATTTCTAGCCTATTAATTTGGCCCTTGCATATTAGGTTCACTTAAGAGAAGATGCATGCTCTTTGATGTGCTTGGTTTTAATCTTACAATATTAATTTGGCTATTGTAAGCAGCCATGCCTGTTCTCTGTACATGTCATACAAAGACTCAAGAGCTGTCACATTCAAGTATTTGAATTAACATAGAATCAAACACTGAAATTAGACAGTGTCTACAAAAGCAAGCACACTGTTTTAGAACAGAGGCTTCCAACTCTCACAGGTATGAGTCTCATACTCAGAAACTTTCAAGGCCTCTTCTCATGACAGAGTATTTTTAGTATCTATTGATTTTGAAAATATAATTGCCAAAAACCCATCATGCATTTAGTAACACTTTTAAAGTAAAAGTTGTGTTTTATTGATCATAACATTTCTATCCATTTGGAAATTTGTAGTGCATACATGGGAGCTGTTTATTCTGTCTTTATGTAGTCTTGTCTCCATGTGGATTTTGTAGATCCTAATTCTTTTTTTTTTTTGAGACGGAGTTTCGCTCTTGTTACCCAGGCTGGAGTGCAATGGCGCGATCTCGGCCTAACGCAACCTCCGCCTTCTGGGTTCAGGCAATTCTCCTGCCTCAGCCTCCTGAGTAGCTGGGATTACAGGCATGCACCACCATGCCCAGCTGATTTTTTTGTATTTTTAGTAGAGACGGGGTTTCACCATGTTGACCAGGATGGTCTCGATCTCTTGACCTCGTGATACACCCGCCTCGGCCTCCCAAAGTGCTGGGATTACAGGCTTGAACCACCGCGCCCGGTGATCCTAATTCTTAAGTCTTCTAGAAGTCAACAGCTCATAGGATGGGAACATGTTTTTTAGAGTAACTTTATTACTCTGTTACTATTGTTAAAAGTATGATTTTTCCATAAGTTTTGGTCAATGTTGTAGTTTAAGGGAAACCTAAAATCAAATCACAGAATCTTTGTAGAGTAATATGATTGGTTAGTTTTTTTTTAAGTAGGTTTAAAATTAGTACCTCTTGCTTGGATGTCATGTGGTCATAAAAATAAAAAACTTAGTACCTCTTACTGAACCAAGGTACTGAAACCAAGATAGAGATTATTATTAAGATTCAGTAATAGTGAACAATTTGGGATTTGTCTTAATTAATAAGGATATTACATCTGGGATCCTATTAAAAGTCTTTTACATATTACAGCTGTTTGAAAGTTACAAGCTGAATAAAACATCTTGGAAAAGTCTGTCTCCAGAGCAAATTGAGGTTTGCTTTGAATAGTGGTTTCCAGTCATTGATTTATTCCTATTTTAGATTTGTGGTCCTGTCCTCATCTGGTTGAGCCCACTGTGTGGTTTATCACTTTAAAAAAAGAAAAATACAGGCCAGGCACAGTGGCTCATGACTGTGATCCCAGCAATTTGGGAGGCTGAGGCGGGTGGATCACGAGGTCAGTGTTCAAGACTAGACCTTGCCAAGATGGTGAAACCTGTCTCTACTAAAAATACAAAAATTAGCCAGACATGGTGGCAGATGCCTGTAATCCCAACTACTCGGGAGGTTGAGGCAGAGAATTGCTTGAACCAGCCTGGGCAACAGAGCGAGACTCCGTCTCAAAAAGAAAAAAAAAAAAAAAGAAAAAAAGAAAAAAAGAAAAATACTATGTGTTCCCTAAATTATAGGCTAACTTGTATAATGGATCTTCTATCTGAGATGTATGTCAAATTTCCTGCTAAGAATAATGTAAGCATGGGATTCTCCTCTTTGTCCAGGACAGGAGTCACATGGAAGATCAATTGGTAATATCCACTGGAGTAAAAGGAGGATGTATTCTTGGTTTCCCTTCTTTTTTACACATTCCTTAAGGACATATACCACATTTAGATCAGCTGGATGCATGTCACCCTATTATAAATGATACAGTATTCTAAGGTTCATGGATGTATACGTATGTATTAAAAGCATAAAAACAAAAAGGGAACAATAAATGCCAAATTTAGTATAGTGGTAGAAGGTGGGATATGGTACTTGAGAGATAACTTGAGGGCCTTCAATGGTACTTTTGACATTTTTTCCTAAAACTTGGTAATGGACACATGGCATTCACTATATTTTGTATATTTTTGCATGTTAATAGTAATACTAATATTAACAAAAGAAGATATGGTTGTTTTGCCTTATTCATACCAGAAAGAAGGGCTATAGTTGAACTATTAAGAAACCAAAGGATTTTTTTTTTCTTTCCATTTCTGCCTTCTTTCCTCATTCCCTTCCTCCATTCCTTCTGGTAAATGATGCCCTCTAACCCTGCCTCACCCTCCTTTCTCCACCTGTTGACATATAGTTAATCACCTACAATGGACACCTTGACAAAGTTATTTTACATATTTTTGCATATAGTTTAGCTTTGGAGTCAGGCGGGGCTGGGTTCTAAGTTTTTTGTTTACTAGATGTGGGAATTTAGGCAAGTTACCTAAAAACTCTGAATCGTATTTTTTTTAACATTCATTAGGTGCTGATTATAATAATATCTACTTTTTTGATTTGTGAAGATTAAATGAGATTGTATATGTAATGATGCTGGTTTGTAGAATCAATGAATGTTCTCCTTTTTGGTACCCCATAGTACCTTGTACAGTGTTAGGCACATAGAAGGCACTCAGAAAATATTAACTGACTGTATATTACATCTTAATAAAATTTTGTTACATTGTTTTCAGGAGGACTTTCGACTGCATTTTAGAAATATTTCAAGAATCATGGATTGTGTTGGTTGTTTTAAATGTCGTCTGTGGGGAAAGCTTCAGGTAAGCAAATCTGGCCATTCCTATTTCTCATTTATGCTTTGCATGAATAATTTTCTAATTTTTCTTTTTTTCTTATTTCTGTTATAGACTCAGGGTTTGGGCACTGCTCTAAAGATCTTGTTTTCCGAGAAATTGATAGCAAATATGCCAGAAAGTGGACCCAGTTATGAATTCCATCTAACCAGACAAGAAATAGTATCATTATTCAATGCATTTGGAAGGTTAGTTTGAATGTTCTGAAATTGCTTCTGCTAGCCAAGTAAGTCTAAAGCAACATATAGGCTCTCAGAAAAAACTTGGGTAAGGAATATCTTTTTCACTTTATTTTAATTAATTAATTAATTATTTATTTTTGAGACAGAGTCTTGCTCTGTAGCCCAGGCTGCAGTGCAGTGGCGTGATCTCAGCTTACTGCAACCTCTACCTTCAGTGTTCAAGCAGTTTTCCCACCTAAGACTCCCAGGTAGCTGGGATTACAGGTGCATGACACCATGACTGGCTAATTTTTTTATTTTTTATTTTTAGTAGAGATACGGTTTCACCATGTTGGCCAGGCTGGTCTTGAACTCCTGACCTCAGGTGATCTGCCGGCCACGACCTCCCAAAGTGCTGGATTACAGGCATGAGCCACCGTGCCCAGCCAGGAATATTCTTTCTAAAGAAACCATTTCATTACAGAATTACAGGATATTATGAACTAAGTATGTAGATATATACAATTAGTACATGATGTTCTTTATTTTCATCTGTTGACTTTTATGATCATAATTAGGGCTGGGCATGGTGGCTCATGCCTGTAATCCTAGCACTTTGGGAGCAGGTGTATCACTTGAGGCCAAGAGTTCGAGACCAGCCTGGCCAACTCTACTAAAAATACAAAAGTTAGCCAGGTGTGGTAGAGCATGCTGTATTTCAGTATTCATCTTATGGAATTTGTACGTTAAAAAATTGTTTAAAAGCAGATTTTTTTTTTTTTGCTATCCAATTATTTTTGTGATGGTGCTAGAAAAATCATTTAATATAGGTGTACATGTAAACTCTGTTAATTCACCATTATATAAAAAGGTTAATAACTCTTGTAAAAATAATTATTTCCCATAAAAATGATTAAAGAAAAGCATGAAATTAGGAATTTACATTAAAATATTTAAGTATAGATGCATTTCCTTATGCTCTATCATGCAAAAAATGCTGAGATTTATAAAAATTAACATTTTTAAAGGACTACATTTCCTCATTTAAAGAAAAACTACAATTTTGGGCTTGAAATAATTGACTTTGAAAATTGTGTCTCTAGCATCCAAGGGCTTACTAGTTAATATTTCATTGATTACTGTCTTTTCATGATAGAGAGCAGAGCTAAGTACACTTAAAATAAGGAACAAAATTTACAAAAATGAGTGAAAGCAATGTGGTGACACATTTAATATTTTTATTCTTTATAAGCCAATAGCTTTCTAAATTTACTAAATATTGTGTATTTTAAGTATTCATATACTTAGGCATTTAAAAATATAGTTATATTTCTGTGTTTATATACTTTATACTTACGTACTTTCATAGTAAGAATATTAATATATTTGTGAATACTTATAGCTAAATATAACATTTGCATACTTACATATTTTATACCAAATACTCATATACTTTAATACTAAGTGAATATACTTATGAATACTTAAAATACATAAGTGTTTTAATACCTATATATCTCATACTTATGTATGTATGTATTGACTGATTGATTGACTGACTGACTGACTGACTGACGTGATCAGCTCACTGCAACCTCGGCCTCCAGGCTCAGTAGATTCTCCCACCTTAGTCTCCTGAGTAGCTGGGATACAGGCACACACCACCATGCCTGGCTAATTTTTTTTTTTTTTTGTAGAGATAGGGTTTTGCCACAATGCCCTTGCTGGTCTCAAATTGCTGGACTCAATCAAGTAAGTGCTCTACCTGCCTTGGCCTCCCAAAGTGCTGGGATTACAGGCATGAGCTACTGCACCTGGCTATTTTGTTTATTTGAAAGGATTTTTTTTTTTAGAGATAGGATCTGGCTGCGTTGCCCAGGCTGGAGTGCAGTGGCATGGTCATAGCTCACTGAAACCTTGAACTCCTGGACTCAAGCAGTTCTCCTACCTCGGGCTCCCAAGTAGCTGGGACTGCAGGTGCACACAGCCATGCCTGGCTAATTTTTAAATTTTTTGGTAGAAACTGGGTCTCCCTATGTTGGCCAGGCTGGCCTCAAATTCCAGACCTCAAGCAGTTCTCCCATCTTGGCCTTAGAAAGTACTGGGATTGCAGGAGTGAATCTTTGTACCTGGCATACTTACATATTTAAATCATTTAAAAATAACTAGTTTCTGGACAATAATAGTTTTACCATGTCAAATTAAGAACTAAAATATATTACAATACATTAAATCATTTATGCACCTTAAATTTATTGAAATAAATTAAAAATGTTCTGTTTTGAAATGCAAAGTGAATAACTTTTACAGAGAAAATTTACCTAAGATGGTTTCTGAGTGAAATATTTTTGGTTACAGAATTTCTACAAGTGTGAAAGAATTAGAAAACTTCAGGAACTTGTTACAAAATATTCATTAAAGAAAACAAGCTGAAATGTGCCTGTTTCTGGACAATGGAGGCCAAAGAGTGGAATTTTATTCAAAGGCATAATAGCAATGACAGTCTTAAGCCAAACATTTTATATAAAGTTGCTTTTGTAAAGGAGAATTACATTGTTTTAAGTAAACAAATTTTTAAAAATTACGTTAAGTCTATGTATAATATGACTGTGAGTAAAAGTAATACTTTGATAATGTGGTACAAATTTTAAAGTTTAATATTGAATAAAAGGAGAATTATCGGATTCGTATATGATAAAAGTAAGTGAATGTTTTAAGTCTTTCAAACTACCATTTTGTGTAATAAGATGTAATATAAATAAAACTATGGTTAATGTGACAAGCATTTAATAGGAAAATGCTAAGGAGGTTCATGAATGACCCATAATTAACAACGTAGAATTTTTCAATACATTTATGGTAGCCATATTTAGCAAATAAAAATAAAGATTGCACAGTTAGATTTGAATTTCAGATAAACAACTAGTTTTTTAATGTAAGTATGTTACATGGAATATCTGGAACATAATAACTTATACTAAAAAATTATGTTTGAAATTCAAATTTAACTGGGAGTCTTGTATTTTATCTGGCAATTTTAAAATACATTGGTATAAAACAAATCACTTTTAGAATTACATTGCTATTTTGATTGAGTTGTTTTTGTGTGTAGAAAGGTACAATAACAACTCAAAGGCACAGGAGATTTCTAAATATTGTGAAAAGTTGAATAGATTTTATGTTTATTCTCATAATACTTTCCCTAATACTAAATAAAATTTTGGGAGCACTTTTTATTTTTATATAATTTTCAATTTACAAAAAAGTTTCAAAATTAAATACAAAGAGCTCTCTTACCCAGATTCACTAATTGTTCATATGCGCTTTATCTTTCATGTTTTTTCTGTATACACAAACACACACAAGGTTTTCTTCAATCATTTGAAAGTCAGTTACAGGCATCTTGCCCCTTTGATCCTAAATACTTCAGGGTAATACTGAATAATTTCTAAAAATAATTTTCTTGGAAAAAAAACCTCCCGCAGTTCTGGAACTATAATACTATAAGCCTTAAATGAAGAATAATTTCAAGTTCTATTCTAAAGTTCTTTTTGAGTTTTGTTGCCCCTTTTATGCTTGATGTGTATAGTAATAAGGTAGGCTATGTATTTTATCAAAAAAATTCTTTTTTTAGCTGGGTGCGGTGGCTCAAGCCTGTAATCCCAGCACTTTGGGAGGCCGAGGCGAGTGGATCATGAGGTCGAGAGATCGAGACCATCCTGGTCAACATGGTGAAATCCCGTCTCTACTAAAAAATACGAAAAATTAGCTGGGCATGGTGGTGCGTGCCTGTAATTCCAGCTACTCAGGAGACTGAGGCAGAAGAATTGCCTGAACCCAGGAGGCGGAGGTTGCGGTGAGCCAAGATCGCGCCATTGCACTCCAGCCTGGGTAACAAGAGTGAAACTCCGTCTCAAAAAAAAAAAAATTTTTTTTAAGAGACAAGGTTTTGCTATGTTGCCCAGGCTGGACTTGAACTCCTGGGCTGGGCTGAAGTGATCGTCTCACCTCAGCCTCCCAAGTAGCTGGGAATACAGGTGCATGCCACCATACCTGGCTTAATTTTTGTTTTTTATGCACGAAGTTCATTTCCATTGTCTCCCTAAAACTGAACTGTAATTTTAGGAGGTTTTCATTAGGGGAAGCTCTTCATTTATAAAATTATTTGAAGGGGTTTAGGAATTTATATCACATGGTAATTGTAGAGAAAAAGAAGCTATATACCTCAAAATCATGTGCCCTCTTTACATATGTCTTATCAGGTATAACATGTTGAAATGTCACATTACTAGTAGAGCAGGATTTATTTATATCGTGGTTAAGAAACGTCAGTTTACACTGTTGTATACTTTTTCTTCTCTGTGTCCCTAAGGCCTGGTACAGTGCCAAGCACATACTTAGTAGCTAATAAATATTTGTTGGATGAATGTATGTATATGTATTCAGTATATTTTAAATGAATAATCACAGAAGTAAGTTTAACAATGTATCCTATTTTCCTTTGCCGCTTCATTTTCTCTAAGGCAGAAAGAGACAGACATTAACCCACTGATGAAGTCAGTCTTCTTGGAGACTCAAAAGACTATAATCACTCTATAAAATACAGTAATGTATTCAAATGGCCATTTTTTGTGTATCCCTCTCTCATTTTATGCCTCCCTTCATTTTTTTTTTTTTTTTTTTTTAAACAGCCAGTCTTTTTGAAGGAATATTCCTACCTCTACTCGTCACCTTCCACCTGCTCCTTAACTGAAATCTGCCATTTGGCTGTAGTTCTTAACCCCTTCCTGTGAAGTCTGAAATCTTTTTTTTTTTTTTTTTTTTGAGACGGAGTTTCGCTCTTGTTACCCAGGCTGGAGTGCAATGGCGCGATCTCGGCTCACCGCAACCTCCGCCTCCTGGGCTCAGGCAATTCTCCTGCCTCAGCCTCCTGAGTAGCTGGGATTACAGGCACGTGCCACCATGCCCAGCTAATTTTTTGTATCTTTAGTAGAGACGGGGTTTCACCATGTTGACCAGGATGGTCTCGATCTCTCGACCTCGTGATCCACCCGCCTCAGCCTCCCAAAGTGCTGGGATTACAGGCTTGAGCCACCGCGCCCGGCTGAAGTCTGAAATCTTAATTCTAAATCCAGTTTAGTTCACAAGCTATTATTTGACTTTTTTTCCCCTGTATTTGACATTGTTGACAACCCCTACTTTAAAGATTCCCTTGATTTCTTACATTTTGCTCACTGCTGACCACCCCCGACCCCCCTTTTGGCCTTATTTATTCCTTAAATGTTATTCCTCAGACTGCCATTCATTCTCTCTTAATCATAACACCACTTCTCACGCTTGGGTAATTTCAATTTAGTGATTCCTAAATCCTTTAGCCAAACTCAATCCATCTGCCTGTTGCACTTTACTTGGTGGTTCCACAGACACCTTTTTGTGTCTTAAAACATTTATTCTCTCCAAAACTTACTCTAATGCCTCTGTTCTTTACTTTGGCTAATTTTAGAACCATTATATTCTAAGTTTTCTAGGCTAATGCCTCTCCTCTCCTTCCCCCTGTCATTTAGTGTCTAAGTTCTGATTTTATCTCCACCTCTGATGCATCGCTATCTTTCATCTTCATTGCTATTATTAATACCTACAGTATTACACTGACCTGCCTCCTGTACCTAGCTGGTCTCCTCTCTGTTGCAACCGGATGTTACCAGAGTAGGTTTTCTAGAAGCACTCTTGACAATGTTACTCACTGCTTAATACCCTTCAGTGACTTCAGGAACCTTCAGGAGAAAGCCAAACTCCTGTGTTTGGTGTACAAAGTCTTCTTATGTGTGATGTGCTTCCTCCACTGAATGTTCTGGTGAAACAGACTCACAGTTTTTCAGAAGCCCCATATGGCCAGGCCTCCTGCCTTGGTAAATGCTGTACTCTTTGCCTCAAGTGCGCTAGTCATCCTTCCCCACTTGGAAAATTCCTATGCATCTTGCAGGCCTGACATAAGCATCTCCTCTGTGAAATCTCCCTTGCTCCACTCAAGGATAGTCATCTAACTTCCTCTTTGTGTCACCACTGTAATTACAACCTACCTCTACTGTGTGTCACTTAAATTGTACTGTACTGTTTTATTTTTCAAAAGTCTTCTTTCCTAGAATGTGAGCTCATTAAGGGCAGGAAAAGGAACCTTTTTATTTTTTGCATCTCCATAGCATAGTTTTTGGCATATGAACGTTTAATAAATGTTTGTTGATTAAATTGCTTTTAAAGTGACATCTTTATTATATTAGAGGTCCTACCTTTATTCCGAATACTTTCACTCCCTTCACTTTAAAGCAAGGGTCAGTAGAGTCCCAAGGATTTGTAGACTTGAAGGGGTCAATAAAGTTGTAATTGTATTCAATATTTGGTGTGGTTTTTGGTGGGTCATGAAAGTGGTCTCTTCTGGATAAAAAGGAACTTCTTTCCTGGGAGAAGTCTGCATCATTGAGGAATTTCTTGAATAATCAAAGAATACCTTTCCAGGATTATAAGGTAGACAAATGGATTCCTGTTTAAGATTCTAAGGGGAAGGAGAGAGGTGTTATAAATTATTTATACAACAATTTTTCTTAGCTTAATGTTTGAATAAATATGTACTATCTAATAATGTATTGACATTTTAAACTCCATAGCACTTGATATCAAATTGGTATATAACATTAAGCGATATGACATCCAGATGTAATTATGAGCTCACTAAAGGCAAACTATCATTTGTAACTCCTGATGTTTTTTTCTCTCTCTCTTTTTTTTTTTTTGTGGTAGCATTAGGTTCTTACCCTTATATGATAGAAACTCAATATAGTCCATTATGAGAGATGAAGAAAACCAGACCTCTAAAGAAAAGCACAAACACTTTTATTTTTAATAGTAGTGTTTTGTTATAATTTAGTGAAACAACAAATAAATACATTCATTGGCCACAGCTATACTTTTACAACCAGTTTGAAACTGATTATATAGCTGAGAAACACTGTTAAACAATAAAAAAGGCAACTATGCATAAAAAAGCCACTTTAGCTATAAATTACGTTTTCCATAAAACTACAACCAACTACAATGAGTGGTAAAAGTTTCAAGAATTAATGGCCACCCAAGAGAAATGATGAAAACAAATACTGCTCATCACTACACAATTACACACTTAATAATGAAATTCACTTTTTAATCAATGAACATTAAGGTTTGATATTGTCATTATGTGCTTCAGTGCAGGATGAAGAGGGAATTGGTAGCCCTTTGATTTTATAAACAACTCCTTTCGAGACCAAACTTAAAGTGCTCCTAGTGCTTTGGGATTTTTAAGCAAAGATTGGGCCAGAGTGTATCTTTGTCTTTGGTGATGTGTTAGATGTGTATAAGGAGACAAATGCAAGAATTTGGGTAACCTAGTCAGTGATAAGAATAAACTTACAAATCTCAAATTTGGAACAATCAACTTATGCAGCAGGAAGAACCAAGTTATTTTATCTGAAAATTTTAAAAAAGTAATCTTTGTTAATATGGTCAAATAGGAACAATACCGAGGGAAGCCTTACTAGAAAAACTTTATTATCTTGAACCCCAAGGATTAATAAAGACAGCATATCTTTTCAGACAGTTCCTGATGATTAGATACGTAACATTATTAGCAAAATAGCATTCTGAAACGAAATCTAACAACTG